CTCTTGCTTGCCGGCATACCAAGACGGCGCCACTTATACCACCCTTATCCCTCTCGCTCTCCACTCAACCCGACATACCTACGTATATGTGGCAGCAGTAAGGCTAGGGTCTCGCATCGCACCTCTCTGAATGGCATTGGACAGAAACCAACGACGCCCATTGAGCGCTGTACACTACTATACACACTGCACAACGCTTTTAATCCTTTCTATTCACTCCCTCACCAACCCCTACCTCTCGCCGCGGTTATCGGGAGGCTCATACACATTAATCAGGATACCATATCATACCACACCCTTGCCACAAGGCAAAATCAACAGTTTCTTTTTATCTAACGCTCCCTTCCGGCTTCATGTGTCTGAGGGATAACGCTGTCATGACAACATGTCAACCGGAGGCATCACTTTTACTTTATTTAATTTTCTCCCCCTTTTATTTTCATATATTTTGATCCTTCTACAACCAACTAACTACACACGCCACACATACACAATCTGTCCCTTTCACTCTCTATCCTTCCTGACCGCGTTGAAACCGATATCTCGTTTTAATACACCGTCACCAAGGCCTGTTCTCCTGCCTCTTGAATTTCGTTGTTGGTTCTCATATCCATCTCTTATTTTTTTTCCCCCTTTAAATATACCATCTATATCATCCTGGGTGTTCATCAGGTGCTGGAACGGACGGGGATGGGTCTGGTCAACTAGAATATTTGCTTGTATTTTCTGTTCATTGCATGTACGTATATAGGAGCGTACTTTTCATGCCATTGATGTTCATAGATATCTACAAGGCTGTCATCATTATTACTCTGCCCACTCCACTGTCAGTAACAAACCACTTTAGTTACTCCCTGTAGGTATCCTTCTTCGGCTTCTCTGCTTCGCCCATTATACTCGCCATCCTTGCTGCGCGCTCCGCTTTCATGCCGGCTCTTTAACTGCACCCTCCCGCCCGACCCCATACGCATCCCCATACTGTAGCCCGCCCGAGGCCCGCTTTGTACCATCTAGAGCCCGTCTGGACGCGATGCATGCAGCGTCCACATATACTCCTCTTGGAAACAGGCCGCTCTGGTTACCACCCAGCGGCTTCTTTGCGAAACTTCTCTACCAGCTGGCCCAGCCAGTTACGCCCGAAGGCTCCTCAGTCAGCATCTCGCTTCTTCTCTCAGTGTTCTTGTCCCGCATTTCCTCCCCCTGTCGTCCCAGTGCTTGGACAGTGGTACCCGCGACAGGGTATCCATTCCGTCATTAGCGAGATTTTTATGTATGGGATTAACGACCCGGTGCTGCGTAACTCAATTCATATAGGTCCCCATTATGACCTTTCGATAAGGAGCGACCGGAAACTCCTGGGTTACACACCAGGCTCCCAGCTTGGCTTGCTCTCCTCGTACTGATGTGATGGGTATTCTCCATCCCGTGTTGGGGCTTTTGGCACATGAAGCTCGCAGCGATACGGAGTAAGTATGTCATCACTGCATCCACTGTAACTGTATTTGCCGAGGACAAGCCATGGATACTCGCAGACAGATGGATCTTCCCATGTGGAAAGGAAGTCAAGATCGCAAGGGACAGATACCCGAACCTATCCCAGGGTACCCTTTGCTCCGGTGCCTGTTGGTGAGCCGGCGTGGGTTAGTTAGATACGGTTACGGCTCGTGTTGGGCATCAACAGCGTCTGTTCGCCTGCCCACATACCAGTGCTATAACATGTCAAGTAACGACGGTGATAGGTATTATAGCTGGATGGATGTTGTGCCCCTGCTCCACGGTTCCTCTGGGGCATGCACTGGCGTAACTGTAGCCGGTGGAATGCTACTTATTTAGCGCCTGGCAGTCTGCAACTCGGGGTTACTGTGACAGGGCCGATGAGATCATGACTGACTATCGAGCTCGTTAGCTTTGGCGTTTGGTGGTATCTAGAGGCATTTCAATTTGGTCCACGAAATGATTTCATGCAGAGCTAACCAGCCAGTTGGCTAACTAGCAAATAGGAAGTTTCGGAGCATTCGATTTCTCGCGGAGAATAGTGATGGTTACATCATGGCACGTAGCATCTGCCGTCACGGAGGTACTTGCTTGCTGTCTCTGCCATTGGCGTTGACTGATGGGAAATGAGCGGACTTCGAGATGCACCTGCTGTGCACCAGAACAATCTGATGTCCACAGGTGGGCGCAAACTTGTGCTGGACGGTGCTCGTCGGAGTAAAGGACGCGGGCTCGCTGGGAGGTTTGCTGTATGTGACTTGTGGCCGTTTCTGCGCTTTTCACCCATCAGGCTAAGTTAACCAAAGTCACACCGTTGATCAGATCCTGAAGACTCTGCAGCTGGTGAAGTCCATTATTGAATGTCTGGTTAAACGGAGCAGGCTGCATTGCATGAGTTTGACGTATTATTATTCTCCTTGGTTGTGCTGGATAGTCCTAGTATGTGACAGCGAGCCCGCAGGCCAACACATCTGCCATCACGGTCTGTTCTACTCTGCAGTCAGCGTTTTACCCACGGCTCTTGTATCTTCAAACCCGTATCTTCCACATACAACGAGTCGAGAGTCATCCTTGAACCAAAAGTTATAGAATCATGGGCTATCAGAGCCACTGCAAGTCATACCACTTCGAGAAGTGAGGCCATTCATGGATGGCTATGGGCCTATGGAACACACTATCAGGCACAAAAGCAGGTTTTGAAAAGTAAGTTAGATTTTACAGCGCTTCGATATTGTACACTGGACTTGTCTCGAGAATAGCCTCTCCTTCCAAAAAAAAAAAAAAAAAAAAAAAAAAAAAAAAAAAAAAAAAAAAAAAAAAAAAAAAAAAAGGAAGAAGAAGAAGAAGAAGAGTAAAGTATACCGCAAGGTACGGATTAGGGAAAAGCCAAAGAGACACAATGTGACCTGTGTATCATACCATTCGTTGGAAAATGGTGGTAAAAGATAGCTCCGAGCGATATAGATCAGATCCGCAAGGCAAATAGAATCGGTAATATTTACCAGGCATTGACTTCAAAATTCTCCTATAATAAGTGTTAGCGTCAGAAGATGAAATAGGTAGGGCATAGATTAGAATTAGAATGGCTTGCCTCTGAAAAGTAAGTAGTAACGACGGTACGGTCTTGGAACTTTCTTCCAGCAAGAGCTTGAAGGGCCTTAGTCGCGGACTCGGGTGTGTCGAATTTGACATAAATCTTTCCTACACCGGCAGCTTGCCTGCTACCGGCGGAAGGACGGGGAATCTTAAGCTCTTCAACTACTCCGTATTTGGAACATTCCTCCTGTACGTCTTCGCAAATTTCTAAATGACAAAAGATACATAGTATTAGTGGAAACCGTCACAGGGTAGCTAGAAAAGTGGTAAAATCTTACCCTCATAGTCTTCATTATCGATTAATTCGTCGGCAGTAACCATATTCAGCAGCTGGAGCACTCGTCCAGTTTCAAGGTCCTGTGAGGTGGTTTTCGCAAACATGGACATCGCATTGACACCCATATCAAGTCCGGCAGCTTGTACGGTGCCAATACTTGCACGGTTAACTTTAAGTCTCCTATCTCCGAGCTCCATGCCGTTGAGCCCTTCAACTGCAATTCCGGTCGATGCTGAATCAAGATACTCACAGAAGGCAATTCCCTAGTAAACTCGGTTAGTATATATATTAACGATTTGGTGGAGACGGGATAAATGCATACTCTTGACTCATCAGTTCCAACGTCTTTGACAAGAACGAAAGATTTCAATTCACCAAATGAAACAAGAAGCATGGTGACTTGGTCCTCTTGGATGAATGGAGGGATATTTGATACGCAAATCTTATTAGGTGAGTCGGGTACGTTGCTCGATACAACACCCTCTTGACGTGGTTCCTCATCCGTTGGGAGAGGAACGATGTAATCTTTCGGCCGCACTATCGTCAGGCCTTTTACGTTTCCATTTGATTCCCCGTTACTTTCTCTGTTAGCTTCATGCTCTTCCATGGTGATGCCATCGAACGCTAAGGCAACAGTCGCGTCAGCCGCAGTGTTAAATTCTAAGAGTGCAAATTTCCCATCCTTTGAGATCTGCACAGACTGGCAGGGATCGACACCGCTGATGACATTTAGACCATTGAGCTGCAAATTGAAGAATTGTTGCAGGGTATCTTCAGTAACATTTGGTGGGATGTTATGCGCAAAGAGTCGCTTTGACTGTCTGGAATTAGAGGGTTTGAGAAGAGTGTTGTTGCCTGAACCCGAAGCAGCTGGAGGGTTCATAAAGGCCTGTAGCCGGCTTGGGTCAACTGCTTGTTGACGCGGTGCGCCTGGTAGTGGGAACATCCCTGACACCTTCGCCTGCTCCGCGGTAACGTTTTCATACCCAGGAGGCTTGATGTCCCACTGAGTCAATCGGCGTTTTCGTTCTAGGATCGGGACGACATCAGTCAGATCAGGCGTAGGCTCTCTTTTCTTGGGGGGTGGTGTTGCGCTCCGTTTTCTATCTCTTCCGCGACCGCCACGGGATTTTTCCTCAAATAAGTCCCGGTCGCGTCGAGACCGGTCGTCATCGTCACCTCGCCGCTCACGCCTCCTGTCACTTCCTCTGTCTCTATCCCAATCGCCCCTGTCGTCTCGTCGGCTTTGATATCTATCTTCTCGTTCTCTAGCTCGATAGTCGCGGCTGGAAGAATAAGAATCCATCTCTCCATCTCGACGCGACGACCTGGAGCCATGGTGAGGTGACCTTGACCTTCTACGCTCCCTGTCACCTCTATCACCTCTCTCACGCCTCTCACCACGATCTCGACGGTCGTCTCTGCCGGATCGGCCTCCCTAAAAAGTCCACAACCATCAGGAACTGGGTATTCGTTTGGTAGGAATATGGGTGGCCATGAACTCACATAATAATCCCTCGAGCGGCCGCTCTCTGATCATCAAACCATTAGTCATGAACAGATACGAATTTAGATCAATAACATGCCGCAGAATAAGCTTACCTCTTGCGCTATAACCTTCGCCGTTCATCCTGTTAGCTGATTCAAGACAGGCTACGGAGAGAGCTGAATGCAGCGGTATTTGTTCAACGCTAGGTGTAATGAGCTCCAGAGCACGCGCACCACACAATTCCCCCCGGGCTAAGATATAAGAAAGGGAAGACACCGCAGTTAAGAGCTGATACTGTGTCTGTTGCGGCTTTGCAGAAGTTTTATGGCTGAAATGTCCATCCGAGCCAGAAGTTCTCGATGTCCAGCTCAAGCCACATTGGGATGCAGCCTTGGCAGTGATTACATAATAAGCTTATCGATATCTGGAAGGTTCAAGTTTCGACGTCGCGACAACAATAACGACGATGGAAAATAAGAACAACACCAGCATCTAAACATGTCAACTGGCAGATTCTCGGAGTGGCGCAAGCTGCCACTGACTCTAAAGGAACTGTGCATTGATACGACTCTTCGGTGTGGGCAAAGCTTTCGGTAAGAAAACGACCCACTGGATGTGCATTTGGTTTTGGTTCCTGGATTTACCGGCTAGCTAGTTAACTGATGCAATGCAGCTGGCGAAAGCTCGACGACGAGTGGACATGTTCGCTCTACGGGCGTGTCCTATCCTTGAAACAGGACTCGGACTCACTTTGGTACAGATCATTTAAACCTTCGTCTGTCGAATCATCTACGCTTCCTACTCCCCCAGTCTCTAATGCGACAACACAACGTGGAACTCCCGACGACGACGATACAGAGGCATTGATCCATCATTATTTCAATCTAGAGTATAACCTGTCGGATTTATACGAACAATGGGCAGCTTCTGATCCAATTTTCAAAAAGAAAGCAGTGCAGTTTGCTGGTATCCGGATTATGAGACAGGATGCTTGGGAAACTCTTGTGTCTTTCATTTGCAGCAGTAATAACAACATAGCTCGTATATCCCAGATGGTAAGCCCATATCTTGTTATATTCAATAAATCCACGCTCTAAACCTTGTCTCGACAGGTGGAAAAGCTATGTATCAACTATGGCCCATTCATTGGCCAGTTGGGCGACCAGAAATATTACGATTTCCCGGAACCTTCAGCCTTGACTGGTACCGGTGTTGAATCGCATTTGCGGGAGCTTGGATTCGGGTATAGGGCCAAATATATCTATCAGACCGCAAAAATTGTGGCAAATCAACGGGAGCCGGGATGGTTGAACAGCTTGCGGAACCCCGAAAAGCCTGCCTTTAACGAGAAGCCTGCAACACCTGGGTCCGGGGCTAAGGGTGATAAATCCGGCTATAGAGAGGCACATGAACAGCTGCTTACTCTACAAGGCGTTGGCCCGAAAGTCGCGGATTGCGTGTGCCTAATGGGCCTAGGCTGGGGAGAGTCAGTTCCGGTTGATACTCATGGTAAGTCACAGTATTTGATATCAACAGTATGACCATATTATACTCACTATATTTTTTCATAAATGAAATAGTCTGGCAGATTGCTCAGCGTGACTATAGATTTGGAAAGGGGAAACAGAAGACTCTAAACAAAGCAACATATGATGCTGTTGGTGACCATTTTAGAGAGCTATGGGGCAAAGAAGCCGGCTGGGCACAGAGTGTTCTATTTACAGCCAATCTCAGATCATTCTCGGACCGATTGAACCCCAGATCAGAGGTCCACGACCAGTCTACAGAGACGCTTAAAGTTGAGTCGAAAGTAGAAGCAACGCAAGTGAAGGAAGAGGTGGAAGAAGATGGAATTCGAATTACCACTCGAATCTCTGTCAAAAGGGAGCTATCCGAAGGTGAAGACACGGGGCCTAAAGATAACTCTAGTGTTTCTGAGCCTGTGCCGAAGAAACGAAGGACACGAGCATCCAGGTCAAGAAAGTAAGGTTCTTTGTTTCGACTGCATAACAGGCAGAATATGTACATTATTATTCCTTGGACGAGATCAACTGGGTCATCAGGTCCTTCAAAAAAGCGACCACTTAGTGGCTTCCCTTGAATCCTAGATCCCTGACTTTCGTATCATATTTTATCCCTGCTGCAAATGTAGCAATGACCGCTAGACCCAAGACTGATACAACCAACATGGATGTCTGATATGGCTTACCCTTTTGTCCGTTGTTTTTACCCATGACCCGAACCTCGCTGGAGCTGAACTCGAAATCGGACTTGAATGGTATAAATATGCTGCGCAACCAGTACTTCAACTGCCAATCTGGATAAAGCATCGTGTTTTTCCCAGTGGCTGCATCTACGTACCAATTGCTGCAGCCAGATTCCCATACGAACTCTTTAAGGGCAGATTGAACCCACGAATTATCCTCCTGCTCTGCCCTCGGAGTGACTGCAGCCGTATCGCATGATTTCCCTCCAAATGGATTCAAGGCTTGAAGCGGGAATGGGTAGAGGGGTTGCATAACAGGCCGGATCGCGGATCGCGAAGTTTATTTGGCATTCAGAAGTATATATCACCGACAGGTGACCTGTTGCAGTGTTTGGGCCCATCATAATAAAAAAGTTGGGGAACCCAGATACACATGTGCCATAGTAGGCCTGGGGAGTGTTGTCCGCAAAACCTTGCCACTATACCCCATAGAGTGAGCATGGTTACTTATGCGTAAAGCCGATAGGGAAATGAGAGTGTCTTACATGTTCCGTCAGCGAGACACCTTTTTTGCCTCTGATTTCTAGAAGGTCAAGGACCTGCTGCGTCTGGAATCCGGTTGCAAGAACGATGGCATCTGCGTTGATGGTCCTCCCTGACTTCGTTATTACACCGGTTTCCTTTATTTCTTCAATGGGATCTGTAGCAATCAACTTCATATTTTCTCGATGCAGGCAATCGAAATACCCAGTATCCATAACCTTGCGTTTACAACCGAATTCGATTCTCGGCGTTAGGACATCATGGTATTTAGCTGGTGCTGTTCGCCTTAGATACTCTAGATGCGTGATGGTTTGTTCTTCACGAAGGGGACGCCCATACTCGAGATAGAGCTCACGAAATGCGTATTCAAGCCGGCTAAAGTGCCATACTCGATACGCCCACATTGTTAAAGGGATATAACGCATTGTCCATTTGAAGAGAGGGCTATATTCGTTATTTGGGCGTTCAATCACCCAATGCGGCTGACGGATAAACTGAGTGAGTTTCCGAACCTTGCTGTCACCACCCGTCATAATAGGTACGAACTGTGTGGCACTGCAACCATTGCCTACGAATGGAAGTCAGTCTACTTACGGAGGAGCTCATATAAAGACGAAACCTCTTACCAATAACGATGACATCTTTATTGGCCCAATTGAATTGGTGATCCCATGGTGCGGAGTGAAATAACTTCCCACGAAACTTATCGTATCCTTTGATATCGCATTCCTTTGGAATTGACAAAACACCGACTGCAGATATCAATATCTTGCATCGTCGATGCCTGGTGATGTTTGTTTTGAGGTCTTTTATCGTGACCTGCCACGTCCCTGTTTTTTTTCCTCAAACCTAGCACTCTGAACAACCGAGTTGTATCTGATATATGGTGCAATATTGTGTTTGTCAACAAGTGAATTGAAATAAGCTAGGATTTCGGGTTGCAGAGCATGTTTCATGCTCCACTCCGGGTTGAGATCGAATGAGTATGAGTATACATGAGACGGGACCTAGTAAACACCTTAGCTTGTAATCGCAAAAGAGGCTCTAGCTAAAGGCCTAGAAGCGTCATTCATCCGGTCGTATATTCAGTGGATACGGCGGACTATGGAAGTATTAACATCAAATCCACAGCCGGGATAGGAATTAGCCCACCATGTCCCTCCCAAACCGTTTGATTTCTCAAATATCTCATAGTTCGCCTGGGAAAAGTCCTCTTTGAGCCGAATAGCGAATCCGATACCGGACATCCCGGCACCAATAATAAGAACATCCGTATCAAGAGACATTTTGACTTGAATTAAGCGGTGGTGTTGGTTATATCACGAATATATTCTTTCGTTAATAGTAATGACGTCGACAACTCTGAGAGGAACCGAGAGAGGGAACTTGAGCGCATTAAATAGCTAGCAGTGGCTAGTTAGTCACATTTCCTAGTAATCATCCTGCCGCCCCAACCGCCGCCATCAGCGGTATAACGGAATCCGGCCAGGGAACCGGCATCGTGCAGCGTGCATCTTGCAACCTTCGCCAAAGCCTGTCCGTCTTGTGCACCACGCGACCACCTACGCATTTGGGCAGCGGGCAGGAAGGCTAGCCCAGGGCGCATTCTAATGTTATGCGACGACAGTCAACCCAAGAGAGCAACAGCCCCAAACACCGCGAGTTGTCCTGAACAACGCCACACAAGGTAGGAACCTGCACCATCATACTGCGTTGCAAGTCCCCTATGCGCTTATAGCATTCGAGCTCACGGAGAGCGCTCCTCCTCTCTCCAGCGCCAAATGGCTTAAAGAAGCAGGTCCTCCCGTCCACGAGCACCTTCTCGGGGAGCTCGACGAGGGCACCCTCAGAGTTGGGATGATTGGGACAAATTTGTACTTGCATCGGCTGATATGAGTGACACACTGAGCTGAGTTCATAGCCATGCAGGTCGACTCCATGTGGTCTTTGTTGTGATAAAGCTGGTTCGTCTGGGCAGGGGACGAGGGTGTTGTTGATTGCTAGAAGTGAATAGTGAAATATCTCTGGATTAAGATAGTCGTAGAGGGTGTAACGCTGTCGTTTATCCGCACTCAGTTCGGCATCTCGAAATATTGGAAGGAAAGGCTCTATCGCCCAGTCTTGAAAATCGTCGATGGTCAGGCCGTCGAGACCATCTTCCGCTTCCGCCACTTCGGCAAATTGAAGGTATTGTTTTAAAATGGCGGGACAGCCACGGAGCTTATCAGGCAGCATAACGATGTAATAACACCTTCCGCTGCATCTCACAGTCATTTTAGATTCTTTTTTGAGGGGGTCAAACCAGAATTCTGTAATAGAGAATCGCGGCAACGAATTCATGATCGAATAAATAGCAAAAAGCATTAATTTTAGGACGGATATAATGTTTTTTTAATCTTTATGATAGAATTGGTAGACTGGAATGTACGCGTTCTACTTATACCCTTAATAACTAGAAACTAAGTGGTTGAGTACCTATCATGTGACTGACCTACCTTGAATGGGTGATGCGACTAGTCTCGTTGGCATGTCACAATTACCGCTGTCGTTTTTTGTTGGCTGGTCAGTTTGCCTTGGAAACAAACCTTACACCTAATCTCGCGCACCTGATTGGCTTCAAAGGTTAGGGGGATCAGATACTTCATGTATGTCTCGGAGAGTAAGGGGTTCAAGGAAATAGACCACCAACCAAGTAACGAATCACTGTCAAGTTAACCACCGTGGCAGGTTTAGTTATAATGGATTAAATCAAATCGCTATCTATATAAACAACGATTCCGGACAACGGATACGGGTAAATTTTATATTCTATCCTATATTTCCTATCCTATATTTCTTTTTTACCAAGATGTGCTACAGGTACTGTAAAGTACCGTTGCGGGCATAAGAAATGGGCAGCACCGCAGTATTGCCCGTTCGCGAGGAATAACGAATTGACCGGCCGAAAGTCCATGTGCGATCAAGGAAGAACCACCGAAACAGTGGCTGATCACGACCTCTGTGGGCAGGAAGCTTGTTACCTCGAAGACCTCAAACATAATGGCTGGACCTGCTGCCGCTGTGGTGAGTCGGGGAACAGGATGGAAGGATGCATTGGGCCACCTGCAGGGGGGATGTCGTGCGCTCATTTTCTTTGTAATCGCTGCCAATATTCGTGAAGGGTGAGCCAACCAAATCAGGATATGAGGGCCCTATTGACGACCCATAACTAATAGGGGAATACCAGGGCAGCCAGCTATACGGCAAGCGCAGCAGAACCCTTAACTTTTGGAGTAGAAGCTGCGTTGAACGGGTATTGGCGAGGCTAGCAGGATGGACACGAAGAGAACGTATGGGGGAAAGAGTCAGTTGCCAATAAACAAAACACTTGCTGGCTAAAGGTGTATTAAAAGCGGAGCTGTTGAGACGAGTCTTCACCTTCTGTTAAGTTCACGTCCAGCCTTCCGTTCCTCCACGGGGCGTTCTCAGCAGACCACTTTGAAAGGTTCACACACACTGGAGGTTACAAATTTCGAAAGCTGTTGGATAATATAAGATGTTGGCCAAATTTGCTTGACACATATTTCTCTTCTTCAATCGCTAGGTAGCGAAGAGGCCGCGGGCCGTGCTTTTGTCAACCTTATTGTCACGGGCGGCGAACAGGAGCTCTCGGACGATCATTTTATGGCTGCCATGTTCCTCTGCTTCGCGACAGGTTCGCGAGAAGATCAGCCGTGCCATCCGAGGGGAGTCGGCCCAGGTATCCGGCGTGGCAGATCTCGGACGGTCGAGCACAGGTTGCGTGGCCAGGAGACCGTTGAGTTGGATACAGACCTCTACGGTGCGGACGGTGCGGACGGTGCGGATCTTGAAACCAGCGGTACAGTAGACTGGTGGTGAGCATAATAGATAATATGGAAGTATATCAAAGGATTTCACGGCGAACATACGAATAGGCCTAACGGGGAGAACGCTTACGCTTCTTTGCCCCTTTCTTATTCTTCTGTTCCCCCTGCTGTTCCTATAAGGCTGCATACCTCTTCTCCACTGACGACGGGATTCTCGAAGGGAAAAGCTTCTTAATAATGATGTTAGCCAAGGGACGGCCCTCCTAGACCAGATATAGGAAGACTCTATCCTCGTCCCTTAACTATCGACCCCTCTTCTACTTGCACTCCCCTATTCCATTCCCTAAGGAGTTGTTGAACACGATACTTAGTAGCCCAGCCGAGATCTGCCTCGATTCTGTAGAGATTTTGTAGAATGGCCTTCCGTTCTAACTCACCGGTCAAACATTGGCCACTGACAAATAATGGCTGAATAGAATGAATGCGTGCAGATGCTTCGAGCCGGGAAGCAGATATCCCACAGATTTCACGGCTATGGTTTTGAATCTCCTTCCCAATGGATCGATAGAAGTTTAGTCGGTCTGTAACAGTACTTCTGCGTGCTGTTGACTCGTGTGGCTTATTGATGAGTAGGAGAATGCGGGCCATATGATAGTGTTGCATCGCTGAGGCACACATTGGAATGCTGTACCAAATCTCCTGGAATGGACATACGTCTTGTGAAGGGTGAGGTACTGGGAGCGAGTCGATCCTAGCACCAGGCTTGAACGTGTCAGGTAACGCAAGAAACCATGTGTCTAGCTCTGCCTGAAGTCGATTCCATCTATCCAGGACAGTGTTTTGAGATAGTCCGGTAGAACTTTCTCCATGGTTGCTACCATCACCAACAGCTAGGAAATCAACAATTCTAGAAAGGATCCACATCAAGGTGTTTGATATCATGACTTCCTTCATGGAACCATTATGTTCAGTAGCGCTTTCTTGTCGAGCAAATCCTGCATCATCGAGAAGAAGCCCAGCTTCTGTCCATAATGCTAGCTCACTATTGACCAACCTAGTTAGGGTTTCATTGATAACTATGGCCCACTTAGCATTTTACCTTAATCATTCTCATACAGGGGGGCCTTACATGCTGAAAGGTAGTCTTGACGCACAAAATTCCAGAAAATTGCTTTCCTTGCCTTAGAAAATTGATGTAGTTTGGAGGTTGCAACATTCGAGTTTCCAGATGAATTTTGCTTTTCAGCTGGTACCATTCCTGCTTTCATAATGTCCAGTAAAGAGTTTACACCACTAAAATGCCTGTCCCATACTGGGCTCGTAGTATCCAAAAATTCGTAGGCAGATATAATAGAGACGGCAGCAAGGATATCGTCAGAATGTGGACTAGATAATTGGCCGCTAGGAAAGGAGACCTTCCGTCTGTTGCTGCTCGTGTTCTCCGGCGCACCAGAGTCTTCTGCCTGCAAGTTTCCAGTTGTTTGTGACCCAGATAGCGGAGAAGAATACCCATGGTTTTGCAATTCCTCCACAAGTAGCTGGATCGCCTTTTCATAATACTTCATCCCGTAGTAATTCCAGTCAACTTTCTCTGTATCAGGCCACATCCCCATCATTGCCTGTCTTAGGCAGGAACCTCCAGTAACCGCATTAGTTCCCTTAGTGCGGCCAATCTGCTTTGCAGCATATGCGCATGCAGCATATTTTAAAAGCGGATTAGAGAGTGCTCTGACTGGGACCTGTAAGCTAAAATATCGCTCAATATCAAATAGATCCATCCTTGATACAAGTAAATGGGAACTATAGTTAGCTTTATCTATGTCAGGCATTCTATAGTGGTCACTATTTGCACTTACCACCGTCCAGGCCCTTCTGAAAAATGTCGAAGGAAAAATGCGACTTCATGCTCAGTTTCAGCTGAAGAAGTAACTCTCATTACCTGCGTCAAGCCTTGAGAAACCGAAGAAGTGGTCCTCTGATGCTCAGGTGAGTGAAGACCAGGGTCAATCGGTTGTGGCATACCATTGGAGGATGCATTCAATATGAAACCGACGTTATTATTGGGCGATGATAGCGGTAACGCTAGAGACCCAGGAGATACTTCAGCTGTGATCCTGGCAATAGTTGGAGATGAGCTTGATATTGTTGCTTCTGGATGTTCAGTAGTCTCAAGTCTGGTATGACTGTTGCTATTCTCGGCAATGTGATCCATGACAGATTGATAGATGGGATGGTTCTCTGCCGTTGCTGCAGCTGAAAGCGCATCTAGGCCATGTGTTTGAGCTTCCGTAAAGGGTGGCAGGTATTTCCCACCATGACTCCATGCTGGTTCACCATGAGTGCCTAAAGGCATATCTGTATTGAATTGTTCTTCCAGCTCATCGGCGTAAGGATCCGAGTTATCAACAAACACCACTTCAAAGTGAGCACCCACTTAGTCGACTGTTCTGAGAATTGTACGAGCCCTGAGAGAAAGAAACCCACCTTCCTTCGGTATATCCAGCCAGACACTATCTGCGCCAAATGTATTCTTATAAGAATAGAACCCCTTCAGGCTACTAGGCCCGAGCCCACCTTCGTCCTGGTTCATTGAGGCATTTTGCTGATGTCTAAACACAACGGCGTCGCTAAGACGGCATTCTCTGCCCGCCTTTCGGCACTGAGAGCATCGCGGTTTCTGCTCGTCGCATTTCAACTTGCGCGTCCGACATGTGAGGCTAGCAAGCGGTAACCGGTCAAATTTAGCCAGTGATCGAATAAGAGATAGAAAGTAGTGGTAAGGGGTCCATCACTGACTTATCTTTAGAGGGTAGAGCTGTTAGTGGTACTTACCAGCCTGTTCGTGAGCGCATCGTCTTGAGATAATTCCTCCCCGCGGATGTGCGGTTGAATTCTTGCAAATTCCCTATAGTCAGAATCAAGAGACGGGTTAAAGTCTAGAGAAAATCCTATGTTCATGCCCAGATAAGTAACAGAGGTGAGAAGAAATGATGTAGCTCCGATTTAGCTATGGCCGAGGCGTGGGATGCCGAAACTTAACGCTTTTAGCGCCGGATGAGGGAGGGTGCAGGCCAAGAACTTTAACTTCGACCAACTACAGCCACCGATTAGATTAAATCTACACACAGGAAACCCATAGACTTGGATGTTGGTACTAGCTGTCAAATAAAGATAACAGTAAACAGGTCATGTTTCCATTAGTATCTTTCGAAGTGCGATGGCCATGTTATCTAAGAGGTATTTGAAGCCGGTGAGTCTAACAGGGAGAAAATCAAGACAGAGAATGTAAACGCATGGTTGGAGTACACAATTAGCTAAATGAACATTCCCCGTACTTTATAGAAGGGGCTATTGCTGGTCAAGGGAAAGCGAAACTTGACTGATGTATTGTCGTGTATGGGAATTCAGATAACGTCGGATTACGTCCATATGCAACTGAATTAGCCCAGCAGGCGCATATGATCAAGATCAAGTAACAGGGGTATGAGGGTGGGATTGAACCCGGTTGAAAAGAAAAGACAGGGAAAGACCAAACAGCAAATCCTGAAACGCCAAACATTAGTTTTGGAAGAGGGTATTCACTTTCCTAGGTTCCTAACGCCGATTAAAAGTACCGTAAGAGAGAAAGGAAATTGATTCCAGGACGAAAGAAAAGCTTGTGGTCTAAAGGAAAGGTGGAGTGTACGTAAACTTTGAAGAGGAGATGCAAGAGGAAAGTGACGGCCGTCCAGCTTTTGCGTGCTTCTGTTAACTAGATGCGTGTGCCGGGGGTCCGATGGCGGAGGGACTCCAGCAGGTATTCTGGAGGAACGCGATTGAGATCTGGTTTTCGATCTGTGCCTTGAGGAGCAGTGACATAGCCTTGCTTATAACGGCGGTAGCGGTTAAGGAGAATGCCGAAGAGAACAAGGAAGAAGACACAGCCTAGGGCTATGCAGAAAGAGATGAGGACGACGATGCCTCTTGGTTTTTGTCCACCTGGTATCAAACAGTTAGCAGGATTTCTTTCTTTTGAAGCAGTGAATGTGATATGTTAGGGGGTTGGACTTACGGTGGCCAGCAACGTTAATCTTATTCTCAGAGAATATTCCAGATATGCTCCCTGGCCGACCATCAGACATGCTGGAAAGTATGAATGGTTCAAGAGTAGTTCCGTCGAAGAGAGCCCCAGACACGTATCCAAAGTTCGGCAGCTGGAGTTTACCTGTGATTAGAAGTGATTGGTTCTCATCCAATAGATCGGTCTTGCCGTGAGTCTTGGTGAGTGGAAGGACTTGCAATCCTTCAATTAGGGTACTCTCTCCAAACAAGCTACCAGCGGAGCGGAATTCCGTGCCGTCGTAGTGAACAAGGAATGAAGCTCCATTAGCGGATTTCCCGGCGATCCAAAACTTTGAGCCATCGCTCTGTGAAAGGCCAAGAGCACGCACTTCACCATTAATGCTTTCGGAATTCTTTCCTGTGATAGTGGACCATTCTTGTTCCTTTGCATTGTATCTAGCGAGCATAGTCGCGTTACGCTCAACGGTGAGGTTTCCAGCAACGAGCAGTTGATCGTTCTCTGTCCACAGGAGAACGGTAACATCTCCTCGTAGGGATGTACCGGGGCGATTCCACTGGTTGCTATCAAGTTCAAGGTAGCAAACTGAGGGGCAAGGCAGAGAGCCGGCGGATTGGAAGACTCCGCCAACGAAGATGTCGCTGGTACCAGGACGAGGGGCAATGGCGCGAACTTCAACATCGTCGCCGTCCAATGCGGAAGGCTGGTTGGAAGCATAACGATGTTCATTCTTGAGATCATAGACAACAAGGCCTTTGATGTTTGCATCTGCAACTTTTCCAGAGATTTTCCCGCCGGCCAAAAGCATGTCTTTGTTAACTGCAAGGGATAAGAAGGTTGAATTTGCCTCAATCCCGGGGCCGGCACCAGTGACGACATCATGTTGTGCGCCATTGAGGAAGACTAAGTTATTGACGACAGAGTTATCTGATGTCTTCGCGGTAAAGTGACCAGCTAGCATTGTGAGGTTGCGGCCACCTTCTGTATCAAAGAGGCCAGTGATGACTCCGCTGCTGCCACCTGTTGCAAGCTTGCGCTTCGCATTACGCTTGGGTAGCGCACCTTGACCGAGCTCGATATTGACTGGTAGAGCACGGAGGCCTAGCTTATTGTTGTCAACTAGATTGACAGCACCGTGTGAAGCGATTCCACCAGAAGCAAGGTTTCCAGCCAAGAGGGTTTCATCGCCTACCTGACTGGACGCAGTGAGTTGGCCAACGTATGCCAAGTGGTCAATGTCCAGTTCTTTCAGCCATTTCTTTGCTGACGGTACCCAGACGGCAAATCCATTCGCGGGTATTGCAGGGTGACCATCGGCCGCGTTAATTTCGGTGAATAGTCCATTAACTGCAATAGTTGTTTCGGTCTTGCCTGAGGTAACATTGGTTGGGAACAGGACGAGTGATGTGACAGGGCCGTTAACTCCAGCACCAAGGGAGTGCCAGGTCTTTTCAGATATGGAGTATGCGGCAACACTAGCGAGCTTGTTGTTATCCCCGGCGGCGGTGTTTGAAAAGTTACCACCAACGTAGAGCAGACTGTCAAGAAGCTGCATAGTTTTGACAGCGAAATTCAAACCATCCTGTGATAAAGGGGATAATGTCCCATCTAAAAGTGACACAATGTTGCTAGTGGATGCATTTGTGAAATTTCCTGCAATGAATAAGGTATCCTTGTCCCACACGAGAGAGTTGATGATTGCCTCAGGCTCAAGTTCAGTGCCGGCTTTGTTGATGGCAGACTGGGTGAAGTTGGTGTCAACAGTTGTAGCCTTCGGGTCGTATTCATACAGTCCATTTAGGCCGCCAGTAGATGAAATCAATTGGAACCGGATTCTAGACGCCACAAAGTCGATCATGCCTTGATCATGGCGGGGGGTGATTGTGACGGATGGTCTGAATTTGCTGCTGCTAGCATCAACGTGGCCGACATAGATCTGGTCAAACTTGTCGAAGTTGTTGGTCTGGGATATCGAGGCCACGATCGGTGCATCTTCGGAAGACTTGAAAGTGGCAGTTACATTGGCGGTTCCACGGGTGGCACAGGTTCCATCCTGAATACAGCCTGGTGTGAAAATGGTGACGGAGTAGTTACCCGACTGCTTGATGTCTGGCTGTATGGTGACTGAGGTCGTAGTGTCGGTAGATGCATCGATTTGGGTGGTTAGATAGTCGGAAGAACTCTCGTAGGATGGCTGGACCTTCCATTCTCCAGTCGTGGTAGTAGTAGAGGCAAACGGAATACCAGCACAGGTGGGTTCGTTGAGGTCATTAACAGCATATGCATAAATATCTGTTGATAGCTGGTTAGAGAAGTGACCGAAAAAAATATCGACGACAGAAGCGAGAGGGAACAATCGTACCATCCTGGAACAGTTCAATGCCAGTAAATCCACCACCTTGTCCGTACCATTCCGAGACTTCCAGCTGGAACGAGCTCATGCCAACATTGTTGACAAAGGAGAAGTCTCGAGTAGCATACTTTGGATCGTTAGAGAGAGGACATCTGGCATCACATGGAATTTTCTGACCGCTCTCGGGGTCGACATAGGTCATGTTCAGGATCCCGCCATCAGGCAAGGCGGTAAATCTGAATGTTTTAGTTCCTCTTCCGTCCATAACAACGTTGCGAACGCGTAGCTTGGTTGGTCTGAACCCATAGTGCAGGTTAGCACGCCAATAGCCCGGGGCATTATCTGTGAGCAGCCAGGTCTTTCCGGGGCCAGACTGGCCATCGGTAGGGCAGATGATGCTCCTAGGATCGTCGAAGCCTCCAGCAGTCGAGCCTGAGCCGACAGAGATCTCGGCAGTAAACAGGTTGACAATCTGCTGGTCCTTCCTCTCCGGGCTTGTCGTGTTTCCTAGGCCATCGAACGAGCCACCAAAGACAACTCGGCCATCCTTTGCGGGAACAATGGATGTGACGGGCCCGTTGAATCCGCTGAAGGGCAGGTTGGAAAGGCCCGACTTGGGAGACCAGATGACGGCGTTAGTGGACTCTGCGTTTCTGAACTCTCCTCCGACATAGACGATGTTTGAGTCGCTGTCACAGTAGAGTGCGTTGACCGTTCCGGAGAGCCCAGGCACGGCAGATACACGGATGTTGTTGTAGTCGAAAACGGCCATGCCGTTAGACTCCACGCCTCCAAGGCTGGTGAAGTTACCGCCCACAACGACGCTGGTGACCGAGCCATCCTTGTCCTTCAACGGGCACATGGCCAGGATATCGGCGTCGGCAGAGGATATGGGGAAGAGAGAGCCGTCGGGCAAGGGGGCGATGAGCGACTGTTTGAGGGAGCCATTGAAGCCGGCGAGGCCTTCTTTGTTGGTAGGCTTGTAGGAGTAGAGCGAGGCAGCATCGAAATTCCCCACCAGGGCAATGCGGCCGAGCGGATTGAGGTCGAGGTTCGGAGAAGGCGTCGGCTCGAAGAGGGCCGCCTGGGAGCTGAGAGCGAGAGGCAGGGCAAGGAAGAAGTTGAGGATGAGGTTGAAGTTGCAGGCCAACGGGGCCCATCCGGGCTGGGAGAGGCGCCCCATGGCTGCGTCGCTGAGGGTGAGAGAGGTAAAACGCCTTGTAAGCAGCACACCCAGGGGGATCTCAGATGTCGACCACCTGGGATCTCCTAGACAAGGGAGAGACAAGCAGACCGGCCTGACAGAAGAGAGAGAGAGAGTCTGAAGCGCAGCAGAGAACAGTCTCAGGGCATAAACAGATCGGACATGGCGCGATCTACAGGTCACAAAAAGGAAGGAAAGCCGTTACAAGACAAAAACAAGGAGTGAAAAAGGGTCAGTAAAAACTAGGCTGAGCTCTGTGTCCGTTTTGCCAGCAGAGGCTACTCCATCTGCCTCCAGGACGCCAGCTCAACAAGCAAAAAGAGTGAATGACCGCGGGCGGCGAGGGTCGAGGGCCGGGAAGTCGAGAGGTTCGAAGGTCGAGCAGGTCGAAGGGATGAAGTTCGCAGGGCTGGAGGTTGGAAGGAAGAAGAAAAGTGGAAGCCCGCACAAAAGGGGGCCGGATAAAAGTTGGTGCGAGGAAGTCAGGAGAGCACCTGGGACAGGACAGTTAGATGCAGGATAGTGACAGTGACAGTGATAGCAGAAGACAGTGTCTTGTATATAGCAGGAGGAGCTGGTCAGAAGTTGCAGTTCATGTCTATCTGTTTTGCTAACTAGTTAACAGTCTACATAGCTGGCTGCCCGGCCTGTTTACTCCGTTACTAAAAGGCCATTAAAGCAGAGACAGAGTGAACTCCGGTACCATGGAGCCTGCTGGGTATCTCAGGGATGACTATGCCGTTGTTCAGCTTAAAGTAAGCCTACGCTGTCTCCAGCTGCTGAGGAAGATGACTCTGGGCAGTCAAGATATACTCAGGCTAAAGAAGCTGCAGATAGTTCCTGGTGATACCAACCATGCCCATACAAAGTACATCAGACTCAACACTGCAGTACAGGGCAGGAGGAGACATTCTAGTTACTGCTCGGTCTATCAACAGCTATTTTAAATAATATAATATCTGTGAATAAAGATTTAAATATAAAATATAAAACTGAAACAACAAGATAAAATAAATAGAAATAGAGGAGTTCCCAATCAGGCTTAGCGCCAACTCTGATAAAGAGCTTTCGTGAAGCCGAAAACGCGACAGAAAAAAAGGAAGAAGCAGAAGAAGCGAAGAAGAAGCAGGGAAAAAAAAGGACGACAGACAGAGAAAAAGAGAAGCCGGAAGAGCGAAGAAGACCCTGCAGAAGAGACGGCAGCTTCAAGTCCAGCGGAAGACGTGGTAATTGGCTGGTTGGTTGACCTTCGTGGCTTCTCGGTGAAGCTCGTTAGACCGGCAGCAACGCAACGCGCGACCCAGTCAAGATGTAAGCTGCTCCCTCTGGCCCCCCCCCTCCATTGAAGACTGCTGCCTGGCGACTGGTGAGACTGACTCGGTGCCAGGGAGAGCTTCGAAAACATATACCTTGACCTGTCGAAGCAGTCCGGGAAATGCAAGCTCGCGGAGAGCGGCATGGGCTGGAAGCCATCCGGCGGCGGCGACACCTTCACCCTCGACAAGAGCAATATTGGTGCTGCTGAATGGAGCAGAGCGGCAAAAGGATACGAGCTCAAGATAATCTCACGTACCTGTGGAGTTATCCAGCTCGACGGGTTCGAACAGGACGTACGTTGCTACCTCCAATAGTCGATACATCTGATATAATGCGGCATGCTAACCGGCAGGCGGTGTCACAGGACTTCGACAGAGCCAGCAAAGCGTTCAAGATATGGTACGGCGTCAACCTCACGAACAGAGAACATGCCCTGAGAGGCTGGAACTGGGGCAAGGCCGAGTTCGGTAAAGCAGAGCTCAGCTTCAACGTCCAGAACCGTCCTGCCTTCGAAGTCCCTTACTCGGAAATATCAAACACAAACCTCGCGGGCAGGAATGAAGTCGCTGTTGAATTTTTCCTGCCCACAGACGATGCATCTACCGCCAAGGAACAGCCTGCGGGCAGCACGAAGAACAGAGGACGCAAGGCCGGCTTGGGCAGAGACGAGCTTGTCGAGATGAGATTCTACATTCCAGGAACAGTCACCAAGAAGGAAGAAGGTGACGAGCAAGGTGAAGGCGAAGAAAACAAGAGTGCCGACGGCGAGGAGGAGGTTGAAGAGCAGAATGCTGCCAACCTGTTCTATGAGACGCTCATGGACAAGGCAGAGATTGGTGATGTTGCTGGCGACACTTTTGCTACCTTCCTTGATGTCCTACATCTTACTCCCAGGTTCGTTTGGAGACTTTCATTCGGGATCTTTACGATTCCTTTTTTTTTTTTTTTTTTTTTTTTTTTTTTTTTTTTTTTCATCATTATTTGGTCTGCTTTTGCTAACGTTCTTCATGCAGAGGTCGGTTTGATATGGATATGTACGAAAGCTCATTCCGACTCAGGGGTAAGACGTACGACTACAAGATCCAATATCAGTCCATCAAGAAGTTCTTCCTCCTTCCAAAGAACGATGACACTCACACACTTATTACACTCGGTTTGGACCCGCCTCTCCGACAGGGCCAGACAAGATACCCGTTCTTGGTCATGCAGTTGAAGCTAGACGATGAAATCAGCATTGATTTAAATATGACCGAGTAAGCTTGGGCCCCTAGCTTTTGTTAAAAGATTTACTACGGACGCCTAACTAATGTCACCCAGTGAGCTCCTTCAAACCCGATACAAGGATAAGCTTGAAGCTCACTATGAGGAACCCATCCACCAAGTCGTCACAAAGGTCTTCCGAGGTCTCTCAGGAAAGAAGGTCATCATGCCATCCAGAGACTTTGCCAGGTAAGACAAGCCATTTGCTGCTGTTATTGCTGCTCTCTATAGGTATGGAGTAGCTGACATCCTGCAGCCATCACGGCCATAGCGGTGTGAAGTGTTCAACCAAGGCCAACGAGGGCCTTCTATTCTGTCTTGACAAGAGCTTCATGTTCGTCCCCAAGCCAGCCACATACATTCAAATAGAAAACATATCAGTCATCACCATGTCCCGAGTCGGTGGTACAGTCTCAGCCAGCCGAACTTTCGACATCACCATGACTCTCAAGGGAGGACAAGGCGAACATCAATTTAGTAATATCAACCGGTATGACGTCCCCTATATTCTCCGATATACATTACATCGACTCATGTGCTGACATATTCCGTTCACAGTGAGGAACAGCAGCCACTAGAAGACTTCTTCAAAGCCAAGAACATCCGGTTTAAGAACGAGATGGTCGAAGAGGTACGTAGCATCTGTTCCACTTACTCCTTTTTTACATGCTACCGATCAGATACTAACATCCCACCACATAGGCATCCACTCTTATTGCTACTGCCCTTGAGAACGACCAGATGATGGACTCGAGTGATGACGACGCTGGTGTCCAGGAGGACCGTGGCTCTGCAGCTGAAGACTCAGAGTCTCCTGACGAAGACTTCGTTGGAGACTCTGACTCCGAAGTGGCTGAAGAATTCGACTCTGAACACGCGAGCAGCAGTGGAGATAGTGACGCTGAGATGGATGATATTGAAGAAGAGCGGCCGAAAAAGAAGACCAAGGTTCAGAAATAAGGCTCATCTAGGCATCTAGAACGATTGAACCAAGCTACTCCCTATTTCTTTGCCACAGTTTTCAGCACTGCTCTGCTCTTACGGAGCTTGCGCTGCCAATGTACCACTATGTTGTGCGTCTTCTATTTGTCAAGCTGTTGTCCAAGGTGTACATACACCAACTCACCTTGGGGCTCGGCTATCGACGTGTGGAGCACACTGTCTTTTTCCTATAGCCTTTTCTCCCTCCCGATGTACACTCTTTCAACCAATGGCAGATTGAAATACGGATAGGGCAGCGAACAAAAAAGAAGGTTGAATGGGATGGGTATCTTTTTTCTTATTCCCAAGGTTTTCAGCTAACTAACGCATTGATAATGTTACAACGGCTTTTTTCCTTCCGTGCTTACTCTCGCCCCGTAGGCTTGATGTCATAGTGCAGATTTTATCTCAACGAAAGACGACCCGACCTTCGGGCGCCACAGATGGTGATCTTTAACGTGGCGCAGCTTGCGGCGGCTGCCGACGTGGAACAAGCACTGGAAACACGTATTCAGATGAAGGTAGGGATCAAAATCCCAACAAACTGCAATTCCGAGGTCCATCCTCTGTCTTCTTCGCAAGGCTGACTTGAACTGAGCTCCTCTCGTCTTCTTCCTTGTCTTTCTTCGTCTTTCGTCTTGATATCCAATCTCGAACGTATTATTTTGTTATCTCGCTTAGTAATAATATTATATAATCATCACCTGACATTTGCCAAGACCACAAAAAGCTTAGCGCGATGGCTTGCTTACATAAGTCAGAAGCTCCATACGCGACTTTTTTCAAACGTCAAAGGCAACAAACGAGTCGAAAGTGACGGCGGCGCGAGAAGAAGAAGAAGCAGATGCTGAATCAGAGACGCTGCACTTCTTTATATTGATCAAAGGCCATGCTACTGTGTTGCTACTCTTAGCTCTCTTTCTCTCCCGCCGCCTTTGAACGCTCGACGCCTGCCTCCTCCGTTCCTCCAAGGAGGCCTCTGCTCCGACCCAGTCTTCCAAGTTGCTACATCTCTCACAAGCCCACATCACGGAGCTCACTTGAGTCGATACTGTCTGCAATATCCCAATATCCCACGTTCTTCTTCCTTCGATACGCAATCGTACACACCAGTCGTCATCATGGCAGTGGAATACAGCAAGAAGACCAACGCCGAGTTGGTTGAGATTCTCAAGTCGCGCGGCCTCAGTCACACCGGGAAGAAGGCAGATATGGTTGCGCGGCTCCAGGAAGCAGATAAAGCTGCTGCTGCTGCTGCTCCCGCACCGGCTCCAGCTCCACCTGCGGCTGAAGACGTTATCGATTGGGACGACGATACCGAGGCCGCTCCTGCAGCTACCAAACCAGCCCCAGCGGCTCCAGCAGCGGCCACAGAGCAAAAGCCCGTCACCGACCCTGCTACGGCGCAAAAGGCGAAAGCTGCGAAGCCAGAAGAGAAGACCGAAGCTGCCACTGCAACAACGACTTCAGCTGCCACTGCCGAAACCGGTGCGGCGAAAGCAAAGCCTACCGATGAACAACAAGCGACAAACGGCGCCAATAAGAAAGCTGCTACCGAAGAGAAGAAGGGCACAGAGAAGCATGCCGTTGATTACAGCAGAGGCCTTGCAACCACGGACCCCGATGCTGAACTTGCGAAGCGCAAAGCCCGTGCTGCGAAGTTTGGAGCTGTCGAAGAACCTGTTGCGACGGAGGCTGAAAAGGCACTTGCGAGGGCCAAGAGGTTCGGTCCCGTGAGCGATGAGCCAGCCAAAATAAAAGGATTGGACGAAGCTTTGCCCACCCGGAAGCGAGGACGGGGTGATGATGGAGACAGCGGCTGGGGAAAGCGTAGACACTTCCACGGACGGGGAAGAGGGAGAGGCCCACGCAGGGGCGGCCGCAACGAGGCTGGCAACAGCAAAAACAACAGCAAAGAGAAGTTTAGTGAGGCAGACCGTATTGCGATGGAGAAGAGAAAGGAGCGTTTTGCTGCCAAATAAACAGGAAGTGTTTTGGCTCTTCGGTCTCTTCATCTATCTCTGCGCCTCGTCCAACCGACCATCGTTCGTTTGCTTCGTACACTATGAGTTGTCGACCATCACTGCGCCCGGGGCTATTTTCCTACCTCTCTTTCGCACTCCCCCCCAAAGAAAAACACTCCTTTTCTTGCTATATGACCGGTATCGCTTTTACTATTTTCTCTTCGTGTGTGTCTTTCAATATCTACCTGGCTCAGGAGTTTGTCCCGGAATGAAGTCTGATCTTTCACATTTTCCTCTTATTTTCTACTATTTTCTTGCGTATGGTATTGATATGTATATCAAAACGAAAATATCAAATCAAATTTCATCTCTCGAAGATTGGACAAGCGAAGTCTCCATCCAGTGCAACAGGAAAGGGGGGTTGAATATCATGAGGTGATCAAAAAAAATAAGTAGCCGGCGATGTACATCTACAAACAGCAGCAAAACGAAGATCATCTACAGCGTCAGTTGACCCTGCGCGCGTCTACAGGTAATCACAGGAGTCATAGCCAAGGTGAGTGAGCTATAGAAGGCCCGTCGAATTAGTTTATCGCTCCTCAATGCTTTTTTTTTTCTCACCCTCGCGCGAGATATCGGCTATGGAGGAGTCACTCTCTGTCTCTCTGATATCATCGATCACCAGGTACAAAGCAGACGAACAGTCAATTGGCGCAGGCTGGCCATTATGATATGCATATACATCGAGAGCTGAGGTTTGCATGAGATCCAGGGACCTGGCCTACGGAGAGAAGCCAGTTGACATGGCTGGCCGAAGGATCATACGAAGCAGGACAGCCACGAAAGCAGCCTTGCAGCAAGTTATCCATCATTAGGCCTGTACATACGAATTAATGCACGTAATTCGTGCTATCAGCAGCGAGTTCAGGGACAGGAGAAAACCCTTTTGCTTGACCCTCACTAGCTGCTGTGATCGACTGGCTTGTTTTATACGACCCCCCTTCAACGGTGGCAAAGACGCAGACTCACAAAGGCGACGATATGTATTTCGTCTTTCACTCTTGCACCATGTGGGAACCTCCATGAAGGACAAGAATAGCTATACTTCCTGCTTGCTTATTCGGACAGGGATGGGAGCTGTCAGTGGGCGAATCATGCAGCAAAGCTGTGCCTCTTCGATGTGACTGGATGTGCCTCTGGCCAGTGAGCCGCGCCGTCGCTCGGTATCGACCTGCAGCGTCCTTCACGCATTGTCTACTTCCAGCTCTTTGCTCCGATCCAGGGCTGGCTCTAGAATATGCATAGTTTCCTTCTTCCCAGTCACAGAGACAGGTACTGAGCCAAACGGATACATGGGGCCTCGGTGCTATTTGATATCGAACGAGATTTCTCCACCAGGAGACGGCAAGGGAACGTTTCTCTTTCTCTGAGCTCTCTCTCCCTGGTTTGCCTGCTCCTCATTATGGGGACGTGACAGGAGTTAACGCCCACAGTGACTCCGTGCATGAAGCAAATCATAGCTCACGGGTCGGCCAAGGGGGCGAGGAGGCCTTTTCGTTGAGAATCGCTATGCCGTGATGGAGATGGGCTCGGCGCTTCCGCATGTTCCCCATGCTGCTAATTAGCCAGTCAAAGCCTCTGGTAGCTCGTTAAGGACTTCAATTAATGTCAATTTTTCGCTGGACCAGCTACTCCCTTCTACGGCACGGAACGGCACCCACTGATGGCCCTGGAAGTCTCCATGAGATGGACCATGGAACGGATCCCTCAGATCAAAAGGCTATTCTGTTGACATGGGCCTTTCGCTCCGTATCACAGACTGGGGATGCTGTGACGGCCTCTGCATCGATATGTCATCTCCTTTAGGGACATTCTTGAACAAATTTCGCATTATCTATAATATTATTACACGGGAGCAGTACGATCTGACAGCCAGCCCAGCAGCGTCGGCAGGTTGAACAGATTTACGATTCGGCCCGGCAACTGAGCTTGAAGCAAGCATTGAGCCAGCCAGCCTGAATATACTTCTCGTGGACGGGAATAGCACCATCGTCGACACCGCGATGCTACATTCTGAGTGGCCTCCTACAAGTGGAGATATCATGCATGCCCTGGGTCTCGATACTTATCCATGCGAATCCTGCCTCCGCTCGCCTGCAAGCGCCCATTCGACTCCATCCACGGCGTCATCTCGTCTCTCGTCTCTCCATCGTCAGCCTGTTACCTGCCTCTATCGCCGTCTAACTGGAGAGAAGGGAAACGTGCGATCGTCAGCGAGTCGGGGTACTTGCTTATCATCCTTTTTCCTATGACCCTGGCCCCTTGGCCGTCTTCTCGGGACTTTTTCTTCTTCTCCTTCTTTGCCTTAAAATGCGCCGCCGTCCACCATGTCCATGTCCATGTCGGGCCTGACTTGCTTATCTCTTCTCCTTCTTCCCTCCTTCCCCGGCAAACTCCTTGCAGGCTTTGATCGTTTCTCCCTTCTCACTACAGAGAGCCATAGCCTTCACAGACAAGGAGAGGGCCCTTATACCGCCTTGTCGACGTGGTCAAACGGCCGTTTAGCCACAGCTGCTATCGCTGTGCGCGCTAAGCGGCCCCGCCGACCTTGTGTGGCGGAGTGGATGCAAGCAAGCAAGCAGAGCCTTACTTGACGCTTACTATAGCTAACTATACATCGACCTAGAAGTACATTCCCCGTCAATCTCTCGAGTTTGACAGCGGACCTTGTCCAAAAGTGTGCCTTCGCCTTTAGCTTTTTTTTCTTTTCTTCCTTGCATGGTTATTTGTGCCCGAGAAAAAGCTGTCCGATGATTAATATTCTTTTCAAGGTTCTTTCGCTTCACTTTTTGTGCCTTTTTTAACAGCTCAAGTTATCTCATATTTAATCCAGCTTACCCCGGCTTCTTATTCAACTATCTCGCCTTTAAATTCTCGAACCTCAGGTTTTGATACCATTCAGCTTGCCCAGCAGTCAGGTTATCGGTCTCGCTCAGCTATCTGGAATATAGTTGCTTGCTAGGCTGTTACTTTATCATAAACAAACGTGAGTACGCCTTCAGGGTGGCGACCGCTATGCACCATATCTTTTCATCCCGTGTCCCCACTGACCCAAGTGACAGACGCCATCCTTTGACCGTCACTAATGTGGCATACGATATGATTATAAGTCGTTCTGAGCCGGCTATTGTTTCGGAAGGTCCCAAGGCCTGCTGTCCATGGTATCGGAGGCACACACATCATGGTATCACGAGTAGCTGTACAGACAGTCACTCATGCTCCGGCACACACATATACTAGAGGATCAACAACTGAAATCATGATGTCTTCTTCAAGGATACCCATACCACCAACCGGGGCTTTGTCTGGGCAGGGAAAACCGAAGCAGAGCACCCCAAAGTCTTCGTCAATTCCCCGAGGTAGGCGGGACTCGTATGCATCAGAATCGGAAGAGTATAGTAGTCTGAGGATGGTGAGGTCGAATTCCTCAAAGAAATCCTCCAAGGAAGCCAATACCTCTACTGGGACACCGAAACAGCCTTCATACTCCTTTATGCCAACATCTCGGTACTATACTGCACCTCCAAGCAATGCGCCTTCACCGAATATGCCATCTGATACACAGCAACAAACAACATCTTCTATACCTTCCTGGAAATTTGGTCGACCTTCTTTACCCGAGTCACGACCACGAAATGTTCTCCGGAGAAAGGCACCCTCAATAGAACAATACGCAGAGAAGAACAGGGCAAGGCTACAGGCTCCGAGGTCTGAGAAAATAGATATAGAGATACCCCAAATTGAAGCTCCAGATAAGCTTGAGCCAGATTTTAAAGAATCGGTGCCCACAAGGCCGGCACCAGTTGAAAATGTCCCTACTCGACCACAGTATTCTACCCCAACCCCATCCTCTCAGACACCCGCAACTGAGACCAGACCCTCAGCATCAGGATCGCAGTCTCGCATTCCGAGGGAATTCATTGGTCTTTCAACATCGATAAATACTTCCAACCTACCTCCCCCAACCCCTAACTTTACTGGAGGCAGCAGCCCTTCAACCAGATACACCGACTCCCCCGGTATGTGGAGTAGAGGGTCAACCCCAACTTCACTTTCGTCCTACTCTCCTGGCATAGTACATTCAATCCATAGCTCTCGCCTAAAGCAGCCGAGCCCAACTATCTTCAGGAACCAAAGGTCTCGCCCAAACCTGGCAGCTTTATCGTCGTTTGATGAAACCAAGGGAACGGGTGCTCCTATGACCCGGCTTCCTCGACGATCTCAAACTGAGCCTATCCCTCAACCGCCAGGTTCTAGTTCCAGAGGGAGAGAAACCGGACATCAAGCTCTGGGTCATGCTGAATGGCAATCGACTAGTATTGCTGGTAGAGAAATGAAACCCACCTCGGAGGATAGAAATGAGAGCGTGTGTACGCCAAAGCTCGAAGAACCGTCTCTTCCAGACTCGGCGGCAGCTACCCGGCTCTCTCCAAGTCGGCCTAGCCGCAAGGGAACAGAGCCACTGAAACTGGAATCGTCGCCCGTTATCTGGAGTAATCTCGCCTCTTCGAGACTTCCCACTCACAAACGGAGAGGCTCAGCAAGCTCCAACACTCGCTCTAAATCACCAGCTATCTCTTCATCAGTTGTGAATGCATCCACAGACTCACTTCAGTCAAGGGGTTCAACTAAGATTACTGCATTATCTCCACCATTAAGCCAGACTGATTCCAGTGCCCCGCCGCAGTTAAGATCTATAACTCCCAAGGCAAACCTTCTCAGGAAAACATCGCTCTCAGGGAAAGAAACAAACGTGTCTAATGTTACTAAGGAGCTCAAGGAGCCAAAGCAGCAGCAACCTACCACCAATGCCCCGAGACGACTTGGCTTTTTCCCGAAAAAGTCAAGGACGGTTCCCGAAGTCACTCAGTCCGGACTAAGTGAAGGTCGATCACGCAGATGTCCTTCCGCAGGAACCGGACACGAGGGTTATGGCAAATACGCTCAACGGGGAAGAAGAACCAGCGTCGGAAGCACTACATCCAGAGCAAGATCAACAAGTACCAGTAGGTCAATTCGGAACAATAGTGTCAGTAGCAGCCATATGGGACACGAAATTGATGACTTCCTTCTCGACCGGTTAGAGCCAGTTATCATCAGCGGCGGCGGACTGGATGGCTTGGCATTGACTCGTACGCAAAGCGCACAGAGCGAGAGCTACCAGAGTGTAATGTCCACTACTAAATCTCAAGCACTTCCGCCTACACTGGTTCATAGCCCCGAACCAATAACATCCTCTCCGCAATCTACCCTCTTGGATCCTGGGAAATGTTTATCTCCGGAAGTGAAGCGTCGCCGTTCTTTCCGCAACTCGAAGCTATTTGGAGGCCAGAAAGCGACAAGTAACTATCTGTCTGTATCTCAACTTCGACCATCGACTTCCAGACGGCCATCTGATGCTAGCATTGATAGCCGTTCTGACATACCTTGTCGTGATACCCCTAGTTCATCTTCACCGCCCGATTCTAAGCCAAGTAACGAACCGAAGAAGAAGAAATCCGAAAAGTCAGGGCGATGGAATTTCTTCCAGCGAAGCAATCCGAATCTTCGGGAGAAGAAGGCAAAGGATGATTCGGGGCCTACTCCAGAAATGCCAGCAGCTGTAACTCAGGTCTCAACTTCTAGAGCGGTTGCTCATTATGCTATCCTTGATAATGAACAGCTTGATTCCGATTCTTTGGAGGATATACTGGTGCGGGTGAAGGAGTCTCCGCCCACCGAGGAAGAAATCGAAACAACAACTGGGCTCGGACTTAGAACCAAACACGGTCAGTCAATCTTGTTGCCAGAACCACCAGCAGGGCTACTCAACAGCGCATCTGAGAGACGCCCATCTTCTCCCAAGGTATTTTTCAACAAGGAAGTGTTGCCTACTATTTCACCACCCAAGAATGACCGACCCAGCCGCTTGGCTTCCGTTGGTAGGATACCTCCTGTCATCCCAAGTTCCAGGAATCAACATAAACCGTCTCTTCAATCATTTTCACGCCCATTTAGTATCGGAGAAGGGCCTTCCCTAACAGTTACGGCGGCAGCCGTGGCATCAAATCATCCACCATTGGTTGCAGCCATACCCAATCGGTTTGCTCTGTGTCCCCCGTCTCAAAAAGAATTTCTTTCGTTTAGTCCAAGAAAGGGCTCCGAGGTTTCCGTATCCTCTGGGAGTGCAGATGGCGGAAGTTTGGCAGCTGTCACTGCCGTTCTACCGTCCCCGGGCTCAAAATTGACAGACGATGAAATATGGCAAGAATATGACGATTTTCTAGACAAAGTGACGTCGCCGCAAACTCCGGAGGGTCTCTTTAATACACCCAGATCTTTCAATCTGGCTACTAGAGCCTCCAAGGCTTTACAGGAGGGTTTAAGCGGAACCAACGACACTTCTCCTCCAGTTTCACCCCTGCAATGCCCAGATATTATCACACCTCAACTATCCGACCACAACTCGATTCGTCTAAGCCGTTCTATGATTCTCTCTGCTCTACGTTCGTCCGTCACGCCCTCGGAACCAATCTCGCTAGGGGAACTCATTTCAACGTATGCTGGAAGCAAAAACTCCTCTGCAGACTTCACTCATACCAAGAACCCCTATGCTTCTCTAGGCGAGGAGCTGCAGAATGACGCCCACGCAGCCAAACCTACTTTCAAAGAAAATCAGCCTCCTTCAATGGAAAAAGATCAGACCCAGATAGATCCTATGGCACAGGCAAATGTCCGTTCAGGCTCGTTAATGACCAGCCGTTGGCTTTCATTCGGCCGCGTTCTATTTAGCCCTGCCAAAAACCACATGCAGCCTCAAGATCAAGCCCGTATCCTGGTTATTGATGGGCTAGGCAATGATGACTGGTCATTTTACTGTGCGCTGACTTATCCCTCCGCAGTGGTATACAATCTCACTCCAAACTTGCCTCCTCAGTCTACATCAAGCAACCCAGCGGCATGGGATCCACCATCAAATCATCGTACCATCCATCGGTCTGGTATCAAAACTCCGTTTCCATTTCCTAAAAGCTTTTTCACTGTTGCCGTCATGCGCTTCCCAGCTGCTTGTTCCGAAGCTGCATATGACGCTGTTGTCTCTGAATGCTATCGTGTCCTACGCCCCGGAGGATACCTAGAGCTCAGTGTCATGGACTTAGATATGGTTAACATGGGAAGCCGCACGCGAAAGGCCGTTCGAATGTTGAAAGAACGAATATACACAACCGATCCTAATATTTGCCTAAAGCCAGCTAGCGACAACATCCAGAGACTACTTGGCAAGCGTGGGTTCGCGAATTTAAATCGATGCATGGTTGTTGTCCCTGTTGCCGGTACCATCGTGCAGTCATCAGACACATCGAGCTCGAACCAATCCGTTGCAAACTTGCCCCAACAGTATAGCAGCTCTAATCTCCCGCAACGGTCAGATAGCTTATCCAATAAAAAGCACAAACGTGCTCCTTCTGACGATGTGAATATGTCCCTCGGCGATCTCCTATCTGACCCTTCGCCCTCACCTTCAAACGATGAGTCGATTGCTAAGATGGTCGCAAAAGTCGCGCGATGGTGGCACACACGGTGCTACGAACTGGCCGTTTTCAGTGATCAAAATAAGGACATCTGGACTGATAAGATGCTTCTTCGAGAGTGTAGACGACGAGGCACTGGTTTCAGGCTCCTAATTGCCTATGCCCAGAAGCCTAGCGAAGTCACCAGGAGGACTGCGAGCGTCTAATCTCTTTATATATCCCTCATGCGCACATTTCTGTTTTATCTCATCAGCGATACCCGGGGACCTTCATATTCTCCCCCAAGTCCATTTATGAGTGGTTTGTTTATTTCCCAACGAATCTAACGACATTTATGACTCATATACCATAGCGGTATTTATGCTTCCCGTTTTTTTCTTTTAACCGTTTCTCTCATATCCCTGCATATGTCATGAACATCAGCGCATTATGATAAACTTAACGGGCAACCGTCATATACCGTTTATTCTGTTCATTTATCAGTTCCACGGCCTTTCTATGATATTTGTTTACCATTTCATGTCCATGCGATATTAGCGCTTTATTTCGTTTTTTTTTATATATACCTCGGGGTTTTGTGGCACATACATCTTCTATTCTTTGCAGGTTATTTGCGGCTGGCCGAAATTAGTATGTACTTAATAATACCGATGCCCTGCAAGAGGGACAGCGTCCTTTTATTTGTATACGTATGTTAGCTTAGTGCATTTTAATGAACGTATCTAATATCAGCACATCAGTTGTCATCCGAAGGCCTGGCCAGTGGATCATTTAGCTACGTAACCTTCTATATCGAAGTCATGTAAAATAGGGTGATTCTGTAACTACTATAACTAGCCCGGATAGGGGATAATAAACAACGCTCCAAGCAGTGTAGCAGAAAGCAACAACTCAAACATTTTTGTAATCAGCATGGCCCTTAGCCGTATACCCAATATTGCGCAGTATAGCCAATCTGGAATTCAGAAGGCTGTCCTTGACATGTTACAGGGCTTACTCCCTCATGCGTTTTGACTCGAAAAATAGCCTCCATGATTCATATTAATGTCAGCCACAAACCCAAGTTTTAGTGTGGAGTAAATATACACCCACTTTATGTAGGGCGAAGAGATAGCCATACCTTTATACCGGATCCCTCCACCTTGTTTAACCTTAGCCAGGGAACATCGAGACCACTGGGAGCAGGAACGCTTGCTACCACAGATACGAAGGCTCTGTCTGAGCCGCCACGAGTTGTCAAGTCGAAAAATGGCCTCCCTTCGGTAAAGTAATGCTGGCCGAGCTTAGGCATTTTTAAAAAGCTTTCCAGCACCCAAGATGCCGACGATACCGAAGTATGCAATGTGATATAATTGAGAATGCTCATAGCTCGAGCATTTATATTGTTGAGGCAAGAGCCATCGTAAAGGGTCGCCACAGCACCGATAGGGGTAGGTTTGGTAACACCGCCAGCACAGGTGTAGTTTTGGGTACCAACGCCGAATGTGATATATTTAAGTCGAAGGTTTGCTTCAGGGTCCGGTAGTTCTGGAGGGTTGCCTCTCTTTGGAAGTTTTCTGGTTGAGATGTCACAGTGTGATAGTGGCCTTAATGACTCAAGCTCTTTAAATGCAGGTGGTAAGTTAGTCGGCTGCGGTTCATGGCGTATAGCTGCACCTTGGGTAAAGGACGCAGCTGCTAGGAGAGGAACAAGGAGATGTAGGGTATGCATATTCAAAAGACAGATATTTATTTGCAATTGGTGGCAAGCAGTACTGTAGAACAACAGATGGGTAGACAGGTGGTAGAATGAGAAATATGGATATAGAGTGGGAGAGGCAGGGCTTTAAATACAAAAGGTATATATACTAAAAGTTTTTGGGTGGATACAATTGCCCGCAAATGAACAGCAACACCTTGTGCTGAGTCGAATCTCCTCACGGCAACAGCTTGGCTCCGTTTCTAGTCGCCAAACAATAAACTTCCCAAGGGCCAGAGGTCTGAAGGAATGAAATAAATCACCAGCCGTTTGCGTAGGTGGGGCCATTCAAGCGTATCTGTTTGACAACTTCTGCTTAGATGGGATGTTTTATATCCCATTTTAGAAAGCTGCCCAGGGATCCGGAGACCAAAAGGTTACCAAGAATATCCGTATATAGTATAGGAGGAACGCTTGCAGGCGGAGATAATCCCCTTTTAGTCGGGAAATGTACGGTTGCATCCTGTGTATTTTCGGGGGCGAGAACTGGGTATATTAAGTTCCAGGCCCAGGTAGAAGGATTTAGACTCGTTTTCTTCTAAAGACAATGATATGTGATATCCATGAGCAGGGTATCAGTTCAAAAAATTTTACCTTGAGTCCTATAAGAAGAACAAAGGAGTCCGTCTAGAAATGCACAGGAACGTAAATATAGTAATGCAGATAAAACCTGTACAATGAAACGTCCGAGCCACGAAACTCATTACCAGGTTATTAAAATCGTACAAGCCTCAAAGAGACATCTTCTAGGTATCTCGTATATAAGAAGTGCCCAATTCAAGCGAATACCTGCTTGTTATAGACTGAGCAGCCTTGTCCCATGGTCTGCACCAAGCTCTGTCTATCCTGTGGATAAAAGGCCCAACCTCAATTATATATTTAGCGGGATGGCGAGGGCCTTCAACTGGCATTACGGCATGGTATCTCAAAATGTGAGTTTATATGCCGTAAAACCTGCAAGCAATTCATTAAACGTGGTTAGTTTGATGTTTGGGGGCCAAAAAGAAACGAGAAGCTCGTTAGATTCGATGTTCGTTTTTATATTTCCCCTTTAGGCCAAGCGGGAGATTCAGTCACGTGCGCTGATAATTTTATTATATATATATGATTAGTCATCGTTTATTATTAATCAGCAGCAGCGACGCCCAAAAAGATTTCTCGGTTTCTCAGAGGCAGATTTGGGACGACCAGCTTGGAAGAACGTTGCGATACCAGCAATAACCCTAGCAGGCTGCTTTTCACAGTGTCGTGAGACCGGTTCGACAGGTCCATATCATCTATGGTCACCTCTAACCCCATTTTTTTGCCCTCACTCCCTCGAATCTGAGAAATAGTGCTCATCGCCACGATGGCCGACGGTAAGTCCTCGAGCAGTCATGCACCCAAATTGTCGCGTACGTCGCCTAACATTAGTTTAATTCCAGCAGAGATTGAGTCCATCAAACGTCTCCAGGCGGAGCGGAATGGCAAAAAAGGTTCAAAAACCTTTGACATGTCAAACCAGCGCACTGACGTATCGACCAAGGCATCTCTCACCGAAAGCTTCGATACCACCTTGTACGATCGTGCGGACGCCGATAAATATGCAGGTTATAATACGTCCATTGCTGTGGATGGCAAAGATGAGGACATGGCTGATGATGATGGCCAAAATGGTCATCGGCTGGTGGGGCAATATACTGCGACCTCTGACCAGATGAAGGAGTTTGCTACTGGGAAAGGTGTTGAGGAAGAAGATATACTCCTGGCACGCGAAAAAACATCCAGGATTTCTGAGAGGGAAACTGATTACCAGAAGCGACGCTTTGATCGAGCCCTTTCACCCACACGAGCAGACCCTTTTGCTGCAGATGGCCAGGCAAATGGAGAGGCGGAGGGCGCAAGCTATCGAGATATCATGGCACTTCGGGAACTCGAGAAAGAAGAAGAACGCGTCAAGAAGTTAATTAAAGATAAACAGGCCAGTGAAGGTGCTAATGGGTCAGTTGAGCATGAGGCTACCCTGAAGCTGGAGGAAGCTGGCGGCGATAAGGATAATGACGAGTCCGCCGCGGCCCCAACAAGGAAGAGGAAGAAGAGATGGGATGTATCTTCGGAAGAAACTGCCAAGCCCAATGAGCCTGAATCCACTGAAGTAAAGCCCAAGCGGTCGAGGTGGGATCAGACTCCTGCACCTGGAGGCCAGCCAGAGGCACCCAAGCGTAGATCCAGGTGGGATCAAGCGCCAACTCTCACAGCAGCAACACCAGTCGGGAACCAGGGCCTTGCAACTCCCGTACCTCAGGCTTCTGGGCCCGTTACTGTTCCTACATTTGGATCTGATATATCTGCTCGCAATGCGCCATTATCAGATGAGGAGCTAGATATGATGCTTCCCTCAGAGGGATATAAAATTCTGGAACCACCACCTGGATATGCCCCGATTCGAACCCCCGCCCGTAAACTTATGGCTACACCTGCTCCCGTGCAAAGCGCCAGCGGCATAGGAGGATTCATGATGCAAGAACCTGAAAGTGTCCGCTCGATGGGAAAGCAACTTCCAACTGAGATCCCAGGCGTTGGTGACCTGCAGTTTTTTAAGGCTGAGGATATGACATACTTCGGAAAGCTAGTGGATGGCGCTGATGAGAATTCCATGTCCGTTGAGGAGCTAAAAGAAAGAAAAATAATGAGGCTATTGCTAAAAGTCAAGAATGGAACACCTCCAATGCGAAAGACGGCACTGCGTCAGCTCACTGATAATGCAAGGCAGTTTGGAGCTGGGCCCCTTTTCAATCAAATTTTGCCACTACTCATGGAGAAATCCCTCGAGGACCAGGAGCGGCATTTACTTGTGAAGGTAATTGATCGCATCCTTTACAAACTAGATGACCTTGTTCGACCTTACGTACATAAAATTTTGGTCGTCATCGAGCCCCTGCTCATTGACCAGGATTACTATGCACGAGTGGAAGGTCGTGAGATTATCTCTAACCTAAGCAAAGCAGCTGGTCTTGCACATATGATTAGTACTATGCGTCCGGATATTGACCACGTTGACGAATATGTACGTAATACCACCGCCAGAGCTTTTGCAGTTGTCGCTTCTGCCCTTGGTATACCCGCGCTTCTTCCATTCCTCAGAGCTGTTTGCCGAAGCAAGAAATCCTGGCAGGCTAGGCACACTGGTGTTAAGATTGTGCAGCAAATTCCCATCCTTATGGGCTGTGCTATCTTGCCTCATCTCCAAGGCCTTGTCGACTGCATTGGTGACAACCTCAGTGATGAACAAGCTAAGGTACGGACAGTAACTAGCTTGGCTATAGCCGCTCTTGCCGAAGCTGCAAATCCATATGGTATCGAAAGTTTCCAGGACATCCTTGGCCCGCTCTGGATGGGGGCAAGGAAACAGCGAGGCAAAGGTTTGGCTGGGTTTCTTAAGGCTGTTGGCTATATTATCCCTCTAATGGATGAGGAGGGTGCAAATTACTTCACCAGCCAAATTATGGAAATTGTTCTCCGAGAGTTTTCGTCGCCAGATGAAGAGATGAAAAAGGTTGTCTTGAAAGTTGTTTCGCAATGTGCAGGCACAGATGGCGTTACAGCGGTTTACCTTAAGGAACACGTACTCCAAGACTTCTTCAAAAGTTTCTGGGTTCGACGCATGGCTCTAGATAAGAGAAACTACCGACAGGTGGTAGAGACAACAGTGGACCTAGGCCAGAAAGTTGGTGCTGGTGAAATTCTTGAAAGGATTGTCAATAATCTCAAGGATGAGAGTGAGGCTTACCGTAAGATGACCATCGAAACGGTAGAGAAAGTTATTGCCTCCCTTGGTGCCGCAGACGTCGGAGAGAGGCTCGAAGAAAGATTGATTGATGGAGTTTTGTTCGCATTTCAAGAACAAAGCGTCGAGGATATAGTGATCCTCAACGGGTTTGGAACTGTTGTCAACGCTCTTGGTTCTCGTTGCAAGCCATATTTGCCTCAGATTGTGAGTACAATTCTGTGGCGACTAAACAACAAGTCTGCCACCGTACGACAGCAGGCAGCAGACCTCATTTCACGGATCGCAATGGTTATGAAACAGTGTGGTGAAGACGCCCTAATGGGAAAGTTGGGAACCTTCCTTTACGAATATCTCGGCGAGGAATACCCAGAGGTTCTTGGTTCTATACTAGGCGCATTACGTTCTATCGTGACGGTTGTTGGTATCAACCAAATGCAACCACCCATTCGGGACTTACTTCCTCGACTCACACCGATTCTACGAAATCGTCATGAGAAAGTGCAGGAAAACACTATAGATCTCGTTGGTCGTATTGCTGATCGCGGTCCAGAATCCGTGAACGCGCGAGAATGGATGCGAATTTGCTTCGAATTGCTTGACATGTTGAAAGCTCACAAAAAGGGCATTCGACGAGCCGCTAACAATACCTTCGGTTTCATTGCCAAGGCTATTGGACCGCAAGACGTTCTCGCCACTCTTCTTAACAACTTGCGTGTTCAGGAACGTCAGTCTCGTGTCTGTACCGCAGTTGCAATTGGTATAGTCGCTGAGACTTGTGCCCCATTTACGGTTCTTCCAGCTCTTATGAATGAATATCGCGTCCCCGAGTTAAATGTGCAAAATGGCGTGCTCAAGGCCATGTCTTTTCTCTTTGAGTATATCGGTGAGATGGCTAAAGACTATGTTTACGCTGTGACTCCGCTTCTGGAAGACGCTTTGATTGATCGAGACCAGGTCCACCGTCAGACTGCGGCAAGCGTAGTAAAGCACATTGCTTTGGGCGTGGTTGGACTCGGATGCGAAGACGCAATGGTCCATCTGCTTAACCTTCTGTACCCGAACCTATTCGAAACCAGTCCCCACGTTATCGACAGAATCATCGAAGCTATTGAGGCTATTCGGATGGCTGTCGGAACAGGTATCGTCATGAACTATGCTTGGGCCGGCTTGTTCCATCCAGCACGAAAAGTACGGACTCCTTACTGGCGGTTGTACAACGATGCATATGTTCAAGGCGCAGACTCGATGATTCCTTACTATCCTACAATTGAAGAGGATGGGCTAGGAAGGTGTGAGTTAGGCATTATCTTGTAACTGTGGGTTAAGTAAGGAGTTTGGGCCTTGCTTTTATGGCGCAGGTTTCAGTTTTTATTTGTATCAGTGCATCCTGTGATTTTTCCATGTTCGATTTGAGCGCAGCCTTCCTCTTGCCCATGTATTATAAAATAATTACAATTGCAACCAATATATCAATGCTACCTTTCATCTAAGTCTTCAACTCTACATTGATCACAGCCAGTAACACTAGTAGAGACTTGCGAGTCTGTAACGTGCCACTCATTAGAAACTATCGCTTGAATGTGTGTTCAAATGTGTTGAAACCCCAAGACTTAATTATCACACACGTTTTGCAAATTCCCTTGCTCCATTCCTGCCCTGACCATCCTATCTCCGTTCAAAATCGCCGTAGTACATATAATTATATTTCGACGTCCTGCTTCATGTTGGGCAATAAATCTCAATGCAGCAATTTCGGTGAATGTTATACCACCTAGGAAGAAAACGAAAACTGTCTTCGCTCCTCCAGATCCTGTTAAGGTCTGGCGCGCTCGGGCAGCCTTTTCATCTCCCTTCGGGACTATATTGAAACTTGAGCCCCGGGCATTCTTCACGACGTCTTCAAATCCTAGCCAGCCCGGAGTTGTTGATGCTGCACCCGCGGCTGCAGCTGCAGCTTGAGGTGAATGATTCCCCTTAACAAGTGCCTGGACGTATGCCTTCTGCAACACACACTGAACGAGTCGAACACTCAAGGGAGCATAGCCGCTGTAAACGTACGAAATGTCGTTGGGACTTTGCTCATCAACTTCATCCACAATTAGGCGGAGTGACTTGCGGAGCGAGTTGTAATTTGTTTTTGCCCCGGCTGCACTAATTGAACCACCCTGTAGTAAAATACCGGTCGAAGGAACCTTAGGTTGTAAAAGTTCCATCTTTTCTAGGTTGCTTAATGTCAGAAGGTGTTGGTAACCATATCCTTGGAGGACTTGTTTCTTGAAATTATCCAGGTCCCGGGGCCGAAGGCCGCCATTGATACAGGAATCAAGGCAGAGCAACCTTAAGATCGTGGTGATCGGGGCATCACGAGCGATAAGCTCTTCAATTGTATCGTACTGGGAAGTGGAATCTGCACCTGCAGCGATATTCTGCTGCACTCCTAGGGTTTGGCGGAATATATCCGACCGAGTGCGACGCATAATTTCTTCGGCAAGGTTAGTGTGAATCTTCAAGCTACTGTGCTCTGCTTGGTACGCTGGTAATTTGTTGACAAATTCACGTAGCTCTGAGGTTGATTTCGCTCCATGTCGGCTGTCATAATCGCTCTCGAGCCTCCTTGCAACTTTGTTTAATATGCCACCGACGATTGCAAAATTAGCATCACGGAGCTGTGAAAAGAGCTGATCGGAGGAATCGACTTGAACTTTCCTTTTCAAGCTTTGTTTAGATGTGTTTGAAGAATTAGATGAGGCTTGAGGGGCCGCATATCCAATGATTGAGGTATCAACTTCGGTGTGGTTATGGTTGATCCCAAAAAGCTCGTCGACAAGTCCCTCATAAGTCAGCTGTGTCATGAGAACTGTGGCAAAGTCTACATCCCTGTCAATTATGATGAGGTTCTCAATCGTGTTGCTCGCCATGAGCTTGCCACCTGATCCACCCAGACTGCCTTCAGCATCTAATTCTCTCCTCATTCGGAGCAATTGGTCGACAACCTTTCGAGCTTTGTCTCCTTTTCCGACAATTCGAGGAAAATATCCATGTCGTAATTGTATTTGCATCAAAGCTTTGGCTGATAGATAAATTGGTTGGGGATTATGATCCTTATTGAATTGTAAGCGGAGGATCTCATTGAAAGAGCTAACGTGTAGCACATACCAAGTATAAATCACTAAATGCATCGGGCAGTTCAAGGGAGAGGACATCGTTTTCAAGCGGGAGAAAATACAGAGGAAACTCTGCAACACTGACATCCCCTATGACGCCTTCTTCCTCTAGAATTTGATTAGACACTAAAGTGCGTCTTGGTACCCAGAAGACAGAGAACTCATGTTCAATGTTTGACTCATTTTTCTGCAGCCTTTTTATTTGATCTACGCAGGTAAATGGACATGTTAGTTGGAAGTCGCGGTATTCAATCAGGTATAAATCATAGAAAAGAATGCAACAAGTGTACTGTAAAAAAATCAATCTAGGAAGCATAAATAACCGTGTAGAGTAGAATACATTCTACCTGGCCTCTGTTTTTCAACCATGAAAAAGAAGATGCTAATATACAAGCTGGTATGGGGGTTGCAAGTACGTACCAGCAGCAGATTGTACATGATTTGGTTTCTCTGCGTGAATCAGGAAGATAACATTCCGTTGAGAGGAATCGACGTTTCTATTCTCGAGAAGAAATACCCGGTCTACCCCATATTCCTGGAGGACGGAGAACTTCACAAATAGGCCGACCGGCCCGGCTAGGTCTTTGCTAACCACAAGATTCTTCTTCCCGCGAACCTAGCAGTATACTGTTAGGCATTTAAAATATCCTGAGAAACCAGAGAGCTTGTGAACTCACCCCCTCTAGGAGGCTAAGAAGGTCTCTCCTAGCTTTCTCCCTGAGATATTCTGCCTCAGTCCCTGGATGGGGAGCCATTTTCAGGAACTAGTTGTTCGAAACGGTGACTTAAACCAGGAATAGGTGCCCCTGGAAAATGGCAGCCTCATTGCCCCAAAATGCGTACGTACTTTGCTTATCTGTCGTGAAGTGGCTTATGAAATTTGAACAATAATAATAACAATGATGATGCCTTGACGATGTTTGTAGTCGCTGGTTGGTTGCTCTTTTGGGCTTAGCTCATAGGGAGGGCCGACTCCGCCACATATCAGTCACGTGAAGAGCCTCAGGCCTAACGTTGGATACTTTATAAGGCAGCCAGGCAGGCCGTGAGACTTGAGACATGAACAATCTCAGCTTAACGACATCATCCTGCTCTTTACGATTCTTTATGCCTCCCTGAGATTACCATAAATACCCCTACTAAGTGATTGAAATTTCATTACGTCAACGTTCGACTTGCTCATAGTTATACATCGGTGGCTGCCTTCGATCCATACTTACCGCTACACTCCCACCTCCTCTCCCAGCCAGCTTCATCCGCCATGAAGAAGTTTGGATTCGGCAAACGAAACGATGACAGCGGGGATGACAGTAACAGATCAGCTCTCTTTGGCTCACGGTCAAAGAACAAGAGCCCTGCGCCATCAAACAACCCCTATGCCCAACCACCACCTTCAACAGACCCTTACTCTGGATCACGGCCTCAGGGATATCGTGGGATGAGCCAGCCAGGAAATCACCAACCTAACTCAACATACGGTGGATCTCCACCAAATAGCGGATTTGCACCAGGAAGACTGGGGAACCAAGGGAGCTACGGACAGGATAGATACGGAGGGGCTCCTTCTGCCAACAGTGGTGGTTACGGTGGCTTGGGAAGAGCTGACCCGAACGATCCAGGTGTGAAGGATGGCAACAGGGATGCCCTTTTCGGAAACGCAGCGAGTCGATACCAAGAGCGACAAACAAACAGCGCACCTCCTCCATATAGCGAACAGCAGCCTGATGGCCCAAGCGGTCCTACGTATGGAAAATACCAAGACCGACAGCTTACAGCGGAGGAAGAGGAAGAGGAAGATATCCAGGCTATAAAGCAAGACATCCGCTTTATGAAACAGCAGGACGTGTCGTCAACCCGAAATGCACTGAGATTGGCCGCAGAAGCTGAAGAAAGTGGAAGGGCAACCCTTGCTCGCCTCGGTGCTCAAGGAGAACGAATCCATAACACGGAGAAGAATCTTGACCTGGCTGCTAACCAGAACCGAATTGCTGAGGAGAAGGCCCGGGAGTTGAAGAAGGTGAACGGAAGTATGTTTGCTATGCATATTTCGAACCCCTTCACTAGCGAGCAACGCCGTCGTGCTCGAGACCAGGCCATCATTGATCGCCACCAGGAGGAGAGACTACAACGCGAGGAGACTAGGCTTGCTGCTTTCCGCACGGAACAGAGAATGGACCAGACTTTCAAGGAGATATCGAAGAAGGGTGAAACTGGGCCGAAAAGGACCAACCTTGCCGAGCGTTCTAAATATCAGTTTGAGCAGGATAGCGAGGATGATGAAATGGAGAATGAAATCGAATCGAACTTGGATGCTCTGCACGGTGCTGCCACTCGATTGAATGCACTTGCTAAGGCTACTGGAAGGGAGATCGACGAGCAAGACCCACACATCAAGCGTATCATTGGAAAGGTACCTATCTTACCGCGCTTACCTCTCGTTTGAAGCAATATAAGTTCGGAATTAGCTAACTTTTATCTTTCCCCAGAGCGACTTTGTGGACGATCAAATCCATATGAACAGATCACGGCTGGACCGTATTCGCTAGATAGGTTTTAGACGCTCCTACCGTTTACACTACCGACGTTGCATGCTATTTTAGCCAGCCTTTTGCACATACGCACTATCTGAATAGCAATCTGTGCTTCGAATCACTGGCATCCTCCGCCCTCCATCACTCGCCCACCCTTTTGTTCGAAATATATAGCTCGCTTTTAATTAATATCCTCTACACCCTGTCATTTTGTTTATACTTCACTTTATATCAATGAAAATGGGTTTGCCATGAAAGTTGGTGGACAAGTTCAGCATAATGACCACTTGGTTCGATAAAGTGGATAGCTCAGTGCAATGAGGATTTTTAAATCATAGTGTGGCAAACCGGTAATCTAAATATATCACAAATATATCGGCAACCGGAGGTTGGTATCACGGCATCTAGGTCATCGATAGAAAAAACAGCGGCCGAGGCAGAAATCCCGAGCATAACCCGTTCATGTGAGAAGGCATATATATCCCATTCTGCCAATATAAACGGTAGCCCGATAGTACATATTCTTTACGGCGGCCGATACCCGTTAGAAAATGCTTAGAAGGTAGCTAGAGTTGGAACAGCTGATAAGCTAGGAATGGTAAAATGGGCTGTTAAGGTAGCATTTCGCCAAGGCAGCAAGTAGCCCAAATGTCTAATTTCTAGCCCAGGGAACTACTTCCAAAGCCTGTGAACAAATTAGAGAACCACTCAGCGCCAAAAATCTTCCCTTACCGTCTGCCAACGTTTCCAATATAGCTAACGCCTGATTCCCATCAATCATGGCCGAGCACGGTCGATGGGGATGCCGTCAATGGGGCGGCGTGTCCTTCCACGGCGGCAGTAAGTGAGCGATCGAATGATTAGGGCATGCATGGTCTCATCGAACCGCCCGCTACGGGTATGCGTGCTGGGCCTGCCACTGGATCTGTAACTGTAACAGCCCGCAAAGAGGCCCTCGAAGCCCCTTAAATTACCCGCCCGGGTCTCAAGTGACCCGAAAGGGGAAAGGCCATGTCTTTTTTCTTTCGCTTTCGGCTTTTCGGTTTGGCGCGTTTTGCCGATTCCCGAGCGCGGGTGATGACTAAGCAGAATTGTTCGCTTGTGGGCTGTCGAGCTTTATCAAGTTTCTGTATTATTATTGTTGTTTTGCTTGCGCTGTGCTCGTGGTCGAGTCGTCGCCTGAATAGAAACGCCTTGGGGAAGGTTGCTGATTTTTTTTTTTTGGCTTGCGTTTCGCGGGTTTGTTATCTCGTTTATCTATTGGCGTGGCTGGTTGTCGAGTGGGCATTCGTGTTTTTTGACGTTGCGGCCCGTCGGCCGCCTGAAGGGCGGTGCTTGCAGGCGGGACCCTGGTGTAGAAACGCAATAATGGAATGATATATCTGACTCCCTTCCTATTTGCAACTTTGACAGGACGGCACAGACAAGAAGGCAGGAGGGCAGAAAGAGAGAGAGAGAGAGAGACAGGTCTCGTCCGGGATTGCTATGTCCATGGCGCTTGGCCTTTCGCCTTTTCGAACGTGTAATTGATACCTGGTGTAGGTTCTACGGATTTAGACAAGGTCAATGAAACATTGTCTAGAGACGTAATTACTGTCTATGACAATAATATTAGTGATGATATCAACATGGTCAGCAGGCTGAGGGAGGAAGGCTATATGGTGGGATGACCGTAACCGCTGGCTGTATGCAAGACTCGACCGAGTGCTGAGAATACTATGGCGTGGCTGGCATATCATGACTGCAAGGGAGGTTTCGCTTGGCAGTGTTGCATACGTAGCCATCTAAGAAAATTTCTAAGAGGTGAGTCAGTAAGTCAATGACGATGAAGCACGGGGATCAGGAAGGCTGACCTACCATGGACCGTATTTCGTGTTTAGCAGTAACAAAGGCGATGGCAGACCAAGAGATATTAAAAGGGAGATTTTGCATAACATAGTTGTTCATTAAATGCTAGATAGCCGAATCCAACAAGATACTCAAGGTATCTTGACTGTACGGAGCGATACTGTTAGACATAAAAAAAATGCACATGACGCTCCGTTCTAGCGCAGGCCAAACAAGTGTGAAGGGGTAGAATAGAAGGTAACTCGACGAAAGGCAGGGTATATGAATTCATCGTGGAAGTATCAGAGAGTAGGGAAAAAACCGAATATCCCAGGGTTAACAAAAATGAAAAAATTGAAAAAAAAAAGGGGAAAGATAGTGAAGCCTCAAAAGCAGGTAAAGACAGGATGAAATCGTAAAGAGGAAAAGAGACAACTCCTTCTATCACAGATCACGAATGGGGAGATAAGGGGAGAAAAGACAAAAAAACAAAGGACATAGAGGAAACAGACAGCGCTCAACTCAGAGTGCCGATTAATGATAAAGCAGCCTGGATACCCTTCCCTACCGGATTGAGGATCGCGCCCCTATTGCCCCGTATGTATAATTCAGTGTACCGCCGTGGGGTAGATGAGGGAAGCAAAAAAAGACATGAAAAATGGAATAATTGATGATGATGATGACACAGAAGTAAAAAAGATGCTCCTGTCGAATGGGTATCAGATAAGAGTTGTTCCCAGGGTGCTGAGAGCGAGGGATTTGCATAAAGGATGAACGGAAAAGATGGACAAAGAAGCTGGAACCTAGTATACAAGGTATCAAAAGGATCTCGAAGGTGTTGAAGTTCAGCCAAGATATTGAAGAGATAGAGTAAAGAGGATGATGAAGCGTGGTCGTAGGGTCAAGGAAAAAAAAAATGCCGTGGGTATATTGATCGAGCGTCGTGAAACAGGGATCTGTGCTCATTAACTGCGAATGAGCAGAGAGGATGTCTAGGATGGACCAGACCATAACGGAGGAACGGAAAAGGAGGTTAAGGAGGCAAGCTGAGTAATCCGGAAACATGAAGGTGCTGACGTGTGATAACAGGTAGAATAATGGTCGGTAATGCATTGCGGCTGGCTGCTTGATGCTGTTTCGACTACTCCTCCTCTTCAGGAGAGCCGGAGTCCTTCTCGCCCTTATGCACCTTCTTGTGACGTCGCAGGTTAGAAACGACGGAGAAATGACGACCGCAGCCCTCGACATCACAGGCATATGCTATTGCGTTTGTTAGCGACTCTGGGCTCGCTTATGTTTTCCGGGGTAGCTTAGGAAGAAGAGGACTTACGCTTTTCACCGGTATGGCTGTACATATGCGTCTGGAGTGAAGATGGCCGAGTGAATCGTTTATCGCAGATCTTGCACTTGTGCTTCTTCTGGGTGTTTGCCGGCACCTTGGAGCTGAACTGGCCCATCATCGACTGTGGTCCTGGAGGCATGGCGCCCATGAGACCGGACGGTCTTGGTAGAGTCCGGGAAGCAAGTCCATCGTATGATTCGGATGTTGTCGAGCTGTAGTCTGTCACTGATGAATCGACTGACACTACCGATGCACTGTAGTATGGGTAGTTGTTTCCCGAGGAGATTGAAGATGCCGAAGAGTGAGCTGATGGGAACCCGTACGAGTCTGCTGACCCTCTAGATGCCCGTGGTGGGTAGATTCCCCTGGGAGTGAGGTCCTGGCTCAGAGCAACCATTCCGCGGCTCGCATCCAGTGCGTCACCAAAAGTGCTCGATGGTGGACCTTGTGTGTGTGTTTGAGATCTATACAAGAGTTTGTTAACACAACCCATGTCCCGCTCTAAGGTGGTCTTTTTGGTTTCTTGCTGCCCTTTTTCCATTCCATGCATGGACGGACTTAGAAAAGGACTTACCCTGGGTGCAGTGGTCTGCTTTCCGGGTGATGTGGATGGTGTGGTGGCTGATGGTGAGCTTGATGCTGCTGCTGCTGCTGCTGCTGTTGCTGCTGTTGCTGCTGTTGCTGTTGTTGTTGTTGTTGCTGCTGCTGCTGCTGCAGAGAGTGTGCGTACTCTATAGATCCGTATGAAGCAGTCGGGAACTGATGTATGGGCGAGGTCGTGGTCGAGGACGGTTGCTGCTCCAACGATGTTCTCGGCATCTCCTGAGGCATCACAAGCATCTCTGAGCCGCCATATGTAACTGCAGGATAGCTCCCGTTTGGAACCATCGAGGGAGCCGAGACGGGCACGCTGGAGTATGGCATGGAGAGGGCCGGCGGGAGCGGCCTCTGGACCTCCTCGCGCTTGATCGGGTTCGCAGGAGGGATGGAGGAAGGGTATGCAGGGGCAGGAGGATGTGAAGACGGTTGCGCCGACCAAGCATCGTTGAACTGCGGAGGATTGGACTGGACGTGGTTCTGGTACACGCCGCCGTCATACCCCATACCGCCATACTGGCGATGTCCATGCTCCAGAACCATAGTCATTGAGAAAGGTGTTGAGGGCGCGGGTGCGCAAATCTTCTTGATTGAATGGATAGGTAGAGATGGGAGAAGAGACAGCCAGGTCTTCTTCTGGTGTGACTGGCGCTCGAATTGGTTCTTGGGATAGATAGGGAGTTTGGTGACAGCAGTATCAAAGGGTCCTGGGCCGTCGAGCTATGTCCGTAGCTATTGTCCGTTATAGATCGACGATTGTTTCTGGTGACCAAGAGAAAATCCGAAGCAGATCCGAGGGAAGAAGGCCTTTGATATATATCTCTCTTTATGCCTGCCAGACAAGAAGACGAGGAAGAAGCAAAGGTTCAGCAGAAAAGGATAGACAAGGGAGGGAGGAGGGAGGAGAGAGGGGGGGAGTGGTTAGGGCGGTGGATGTCGCAGGCAGAGGAAGAATAAGCAGATACAGCGGACAGACGAAAGGCTCCTCTTTAGATATTTGTTTGATGGAGGAAGCCAAAAAAAAATATCGCCCAGTGGGGCCTCTGCCTCTGCCTCTGCTGCTGCTGCTGCTTCTTCTTCGTCTTCAACTTCTCTTCTTCTGCAAAAAACCCAAGGGGCCACAAAGAGTATTGGGCAAAGGAGTAAGTTAAGTCGTGTGGCTGCTCACGGGGCGATAGATAGCAACCCACGATCCCCAGCAAGGGTTATCCGGCTTTTGCTTTTTTGTGCTTCTCTCTATATTTTCTTTTCTTTTGCTCGAGTCGTTGCTTTTTCTCTGATTTTTTTTTTTTTTTTTTATCTTATGTTATTTTATTTGCAAGGGCGAGTTTAAAATTACTGGAGTCAAGGGGGGTGTGATGCAAGAGTAGATAGGAGGCTGTTTGACAGATATCGACTCACGGAGTATTTAGTTGCTTTGATATCAGTTCTGGATTTAAGGGGCAAGCCGGTTCAGGGACGGACACACAGCCTTAAGAGAACAACACCGCCGTTCTTACGCAAAAAAGGGGGGATAGAGAGAGTGTGTGGGTGAGTGAGAGAGTGAGAGAGAGAGAGAGGAAGTCCTCCGTAAAAAGAAAAGCGCTAAAGATGGAGGTCAGTGAAGAAGTGGAGGAAGCAGTCGGAAGGTTGGGATAGGATGAAACGAACACACCCCCATAAGCTAAGTAAGTATATGTAAGGAAGTGTATATCTGAGTTCAGAGGGAGACATCAAAAGGTCAGGTCGACCCGGAGGAGAAGGGGGAGGCCTAAAAATACAACGAATCGACTCTTGGAGAAGCCAGACAGGACCTGGGAATAGAGGCAGAACAGAGCAAAAGACAGAGAGTCGAGAGTATCGCAGAAGCAAGCAGCGAGCCGGCAAGCAGACAGACAGACCGACAGACCGACAAGATGAAATCCACAAGGATGAGAAAGAAACCGTAAGGAAGGGGAAAAGCAGCCAAAAAAAAATAAAATAAAATAAAAATAAAAATAAAAAACAGTGGAGCATGAAGAATATATTTTCATACATGCAGAAATACATGTACTTACTTACTCTTACGGGTTTACAGTGACAGCGAGCAGAGAAAGGCTGAGCAGATGCTCATATACTTCCTCCGTACATACGGAGTGCTGCTGCTGACTCCCCTTCGTTGACCCCCTTTTTTCTACCCGCCCGGATGGGTTCACACTCAGCTTCCTTCGAGGATCAAACGATCCAGATGGCAAGAGGCTGCCGAGGCTCATGCTGGGACACCTGCAAGCTGTGAGAATTACACGGAGTACACATCCTGTAAGTACAGGGCATACCGACATTCACCGCAGACTCGGTATCAGGCCTGGTAACGGGAAAGCGACATGTTATCGTTTCGCTCTCGGGCTTGTTGGACACGAATACCGGGTTTACTTGCACCGACCGGCGTGTCCTGCCAACAAAAGCACAGCCAGCCGTGGAGCCCACAAGGAAAAAGGAAGGCCCTGTACCTCTCTCTGGTGTAAACGGGGGTGCGAAAAAGCAAGCAAAGGGGTGGGAAGGGACCCAGAAAGTGATGCATTACAGGCCGAATACTGACGCCGTAATGACGGGACTTGAGGAGACGCCATTTTTCAGCTTCATCTTTGTTTTTCTTTCTTTCTTTCTTTTTTTTCAATTACGAGGGAGAAAACTATATATTACGTCCTGGAAGGAAGAGACGGACGGGGGAATGGGAGGGATACAGTGGAGTCTTGTGGTGGGTTCTTGATGGGCGACGGGACGCTGGCATGGTCAGGCTTAGGAGATTCTGATATCTGAGGGTTGGGCACACCCCAAAGGGGAAGAGAGCAGAAGAACAACAGCAGTGAGCAGGCAGGCAGAAGAAGCGCCAGCAGAGGCCAAAAAGAAACGAGAAGGCCGTGAAGAGATCAATTATTGTTTCTTTTTCTGGCTCTTTTTTCGGTGGTGCGTTGCTTTTGCTTTGGCTGTAGATCGTTTTTGCCTTTGCGTGGCTGATGAATGGAAATGGAATGGGAAATGGGAATAGAAAACGGCTATGATGAAGACGAGAATGAAGATGGCGAGGAGGAAGACAGTTGACCAGATATAGAGAGAAAGAAGCAAAGACAAGCTCGTGTGAAGTAGGTCATGTCCGTCGGCTTTGCATTGCCCTCTCTTTCTTCTCTACCTCTATGGAAAAGATACGGTGGAAAAGGTCAGTCAGTAGTGTCTTCCTCTGGTCTGTCCATTCGCCTCTACAGCAACAAGGGCTAACCATGCCTCCCTAGGTTTCTATTAACTCATAGTCTCTCCCTGCAGGGATCCAAAGACGCTCCAAACCTTCCCTTTCTTATTCTGTGTTAATTGGAATGGAAAGCAGCGAAAAAGGAATATATGGTGACTGGTGATAAGTTAAGTATGATGGGAGCATTTCTTTCGTCACTCGAAGCCTGTTGCTGACGCTCCGCCTTCGCAGGGCTGCAAAGAAGCAAAGAAAAAAAAATAAAAAGGGGAACCCAGCAGCCGCGGAGGTGCGATGGAGATAATCAATCCGACACAATAGAAAGGTCGGACGGTTGGCTAATGCTTTTTGCAGGTTCCTTGAAGGTGAACGAAAACACTGTATTCTCCCTATGATGGAGAAAGGAGACAGCTACCCCTTTCGTACAGAGTATGCACGTAGAATATAATATGCCCTTCGATGATGAGAAACGTCCGCAGCAGTGGAATGGGGGTTGGGTTTGCCCTTGGGAAACCCGCACTTGGGGTGGATTCTTATGGCTGCTGTGTGACATCGCCCATGGCTCGCCTTTCCACTCTCCTTCACCCGCCTTGCCATACTCCCTAATGTCAAAGTCATCGTCACAGACACACCACGCCGGCGCGGGAGAAGGCAGAAAGCCTCCAAGTCCAAGCAAACCATATCCATGGATAGGATATAGACATATTATTGTTCTCCAGGTGAGCTCCAGGCTTCCGCCCATAAGGTTTACTCGAGCTTGCCTCCTCATCAATGTATATATACTTTTTGGCATCTTGTTGTATATATGGTTCGAAGTAAACAGGGACTTTCCCCCAAGTGACTCGACTCGACTTGACTGAAGATAAAACACCCAATGTTCGTTCCCGTCTTTCAAAAATCCTGCCGTTCTCCCCGATCAATTCTGTGGATGGTGCAGAACGCCTTTTTTTTTTTCTAACAGTTCCGTGGTTCGACTGTCCATCATGCAGGTAGATATCCAGAGCAGACTGCATCGAAGCTGTTTAGTTTGCACAGCGCCATCACCCAGAGGAACAAAAAGGAGCGCTAATTAACTTTCCTCCACCAAGCCTAAAAACTCTAGCTTAAATATGATCGCGTCGCCTTGCCGCAGAAGTAAATGGTGTGTTGTACAGGCGATGGCCAAGGGTCACGGAAAAAGCTGAACCAGAATATTGAGAGCAGGGCAGAGGATAGTTCATGTTCAGCTGGTCCCAAAAAACAAAAACAAACAAAAAAAGCAAAGGAAAACTGGACAAATCATATCAGCGACTAGTTAGCCTGATTTCTTTCTCTAGCAGCAAATAACTAACTGACATGTAACCAGGCAAATATGTCAGCAGTTGACGAGGCGGACTGAAACTTGCCTTTTCTTTCTTTCATCCATCAGCCATTCATCTCCCTCAGAGGTAAAGAGGACGTCCACTCGCAACAAAGGCCAACAAAGTCGAAGATGCGATCCGTCCATTCACAGCAGCGAGGCTCTTTTTCCTCACTTCTAATTGGACGCCGACGGATTATTCTTCTGTAGAGCGGGAATCGAGAGAGGCGAAAGAAAGAGAAGTAAAAAAGGAAAGAAAGAAAAAAGCCCGACCTTGGTGGCCTCCTTGACTCGTGAATGCCCCATAACTAGATACGGGGTTCTGTGTACTCTACACCACATTGCGAGGCATCAAGTGGTTAAACAAGTGGTGGCCTGCTCCGTAGTTATGAGCCCAGTAAAAAATGTAGAAATACATCTTTCTGTACTTCATACCGTGTCTAGAATCCTTCGCTAGCTCCTAGATGATATTTAACTAACTGGATGCTCCTATCGACGGGAAAGTGTCTTAGAAAGCCTCACACGGGAGCGTCATCGCGAAGACTTACCATACGGAATACGGACAAAGTGTGTCTCTAGCAAGTCCACCAGTAAGATGAAAGACACGTCCATAAAGGTTTCAATAACATAGCAAACCGAAGAAACTATGATTAATATCAAATATGCAGATATATGCATTGGGCACTGTTGACTGCAGAAGTTAGCATGCATACCAAGACAATCAAAACGAAGACGCCCTGACCTCTTTGTCAACTTTTTTGTCTTGCGAGTAACAGCATCTGCAGGGATGCGATAGGACCGCCTTTACTTGAATATCTCACTGAGTGCTGCGAAATTCGTCCCAGCATCTACGGAAATTGATTGGCTGCTCAACAGCGAGAGAACGGGTGCCAAGGTTGCTTTCAATATAATTTGGAATAACGTCTCCAGACTCCCGCACATGCTTTGGTGCTTTGGTACCTTTTTCCTTGTTTGATTGGACGTTGATGGCTCAGAATATCACCCGCAGTCCCATTCTGCATAGACTTCCAATATCCAACCCGGAGAAGTCGGATGTCGCTGCATAACCCCCCTGCCTTTTTGTTTCTCACGGCTTGCAGTATCATTATGATTCTTGGGCTCTTTGCTTTTCCGGCTCATTTTCTCTCGATCAAAAGGCTCCACTACCAACATCCAGACAATAAAATGTAGGAGTCGAAGAGCCGTCTCATGTTTTTACATCTGGTTAGTGGCCTATCACATCGGCATGTCACATACTAGCCGGGTCGACCGCTGCATGGATCAAATATCGAGAGCCTCTCCATGGCTCAGGCACGGAAACGGGACGGAGAAGAAGGGCCGCCTAGAGAGTTGAATGTTGGCATCACATGATGGCTTCTTCATGTACAGCACAGCCCCTTTGCCAATATTCAGTTCATCTTGTTACTGGGGAGGTTGTGGTTCTTTTTCGCCTTCATTGGGCGCAAGGGCGTTTCTCTCCACCTGCTAGTTTATACTGGGAATCCATAATCAAGCATACTTACTCTGAACTCAAGACAATTAACACGCAGTCTTAAGAGGGAGAAAAGATGAGTTGTCAGGCGTGGCTTTGGATGTTGCGGTCAGTCGTTGATGTTGTGGTGCAGAAACGTTTGATATACTGAGGTCGAATTAAGCTACTCCATGGATAAGCTTATGTCTCGAGAGTGATCGTCCCTGGACAGAGAGATCTTCGAAGAAGTCGAGTGAGAGTCACGGTTACTGCGAGACAAGCCAAGGTCACCGTTACTCGTTTTCTTTTATCCTAGAACTCGAAGAGAAGATCTTTTTTTGGATGGTGCTTTTTCATTCCTCTTTCTCCCACGCTGTGATCGACTCAAAATCAACGGTGAGTACCAAAAAACAAACACACAAACAAATACCACTTCATCTGCATAGCGACGCCATTCCACGTCGTTCTTTTTTTCCCCCCGAAGCTCACCAACCCAGCCAGCCCGTCTCTGGAAGAAACGTATCCAAAATCATTACAGGATGCATTGCATCCTGGATGGCCGCTTTGCGACCGCCTTTCTGTAACCTAAAGTAGCTACTGCATATACAGCGCATTACGGAGTATATGTTCATACATGTACAACCAAGTAAATAGTATGTGGCCCCGTCCAAGGCTGATCGACATGACTATGCTAATCTTGAGCCAGCCATCAGAGCCGCCACAACAACAAAGAGAGCGGGCTTGAGAGTCCAGCAGAGAGGAACGAGGAGAGGAGCGTTCCGATCCCAGGTCTCTGGAAGATCGACCGCGAACTTTCAACTCGGGAGTTTTCTTTCCCCAGAACAAAATGATTGATCTTCTCTAATGACACACATATGAGATGCAATCTTGACCTAAGGCGAGAGATGTGTGAAAGCTGCCCACATTTGCTTCTTTATCTGTCAACCTCTTTGCCGGCTCACTCCAATTTCGATATTACTCGGACCACCCGCGCTGATATGAGTATTCAAAGTCGGTTTTCTACCGATAAATGGTACAAAACCGAGAGCCGGTGATTTATGATACAAGAGAAGCAAAGGCCTCCATTAGTCCGCATATCCGTGGCGGCCGGTTGCTTTTCATATATTCCCATAATTATGCCTATATTCCATACTCTGCGCTCAGAAGCAACACCCGCATCCACACCACAACCTCCAAAAGGGTTGAATTTCACTGAGAGGCTCAAGCGCACAGTTAAGCTTCTTATCCCGAAGGTAACATTCCCTTGCAGCTCGCCACACCAGCACAAAGAAGAGCAAGCAGCAGAAGCAATCATGCAGTGACACGTACGGCACATATCTCCCCAATGAAACTGAAGTCACAACCACCGAGCAATGCTCACCCATCAACAGAGTGGCGAGCTGTAGAAACAGAAACGAGCTTGATCTTGACGTTTTGATGCATGTCATCGCACGCAATAATACAATCGACAGTCATCAACCCCCTTTTTTGGCGATAAGCAGATAAACTCGGCGATCTCTAGCAAGGATTACCTAACCCATGTTTGCAAAAAGAAGTCGTGAAAAGAATGCAAAAATGGCGGAGGAGCGCAAAAAAAAAAAAAAGAAAAAAAAAAAGAAACCAGCTGATGGAGAAAAGTTGCGATACCTCCAGTCTTACTTACATATATACAGCACATCCACTCTGTGCTTAAACAAGTGCAGGCGTCAGGGATGGCATATTTCCAGGAAAACTGGCGATGACATATCATGCACGGCTACCGCGAGAGCGTCTCTTAAAGGCGGGAGAGCAACACGGGTAACTCGAAGCCAAGCCCTCGAACCCAAAACAGCCATGAAAAAGCGCAGCTTCAGAGAATTCAGCGGCCCAGGACTTTACATAATAGGAATCCCGAAAAAGCGGGCAAGCTCAAAGGAGCTTAGATGAACGCGTCAGCTTCAGCAAGAAGAACCCTGCTGGTGGAGAGTTTCCCCAGGATCACTGCTGGCCTGGGTACAGGGGCGCACCAGCAGACCAAGCAGACCAAGCAACCCAAGCAATCCAAGCATCCAAGCACCACAGTTGAGTTGAAGGCGTGGAGCTCAGGCGTTAACGTGAGTGATGGTGGTCTCGTCGCCTTGCATCCCGCGCGGTAGTTTGGGACTTGCATTGCCTGTTGAGTGGGGGAGAAAGAAAAAGCAACTTCTAGTGTTGGTAGTGGGGGGGTGAAGGACAGCCAGACTGCGAAGTAGAACCAAGGCCACACGAGCATGAATTGCAAAAGCGAGGCCAGGGAGACAGTGTAGAGTCTGCTATACGGTCCATACCAGTTATTCCAAAGCCGACACAACGGAGAAGGATACTCTGGATCCCATGGCTTGCTCGATACGGCAATTTACTCGATATTACGACCTTGGCGGTTTGATTTTGACTGCTTTCTCAGCTTCGTTTCTTTTCCCTTTCCCTTTTCAATTTCTTTTTTGGCCATCTACATACAACCATTTTGTAGGGAACTAGCTTCATGCTTTGTGACGACACCGACATATTTGCGGCGACTTCCAACATCAGGGATATGGGATCCAGGGGAAGTCAGGAAATTTCAGGGCTCACAACATCACCGACTTGAGATACAACACAGCATGGCCTTGCTACACCTGATAGGCCGCACGGAGTACTCCGCGATGGGGATACGGGGACACAAAAAAAAAAAAAGAGGGCATCGAGGACGGTTTGCAAGATGGCTCTGCGAGTTGTCGTAGTTTTGGGAACGACGTTGCAAAATGGAGTTTATCTGCCGTGTCAAGTTATACGAGGAGCTTATGCGTATGCAATCCGATGTGCTGTGATGGCGTGCAGCTACTACTCTAGTACACAAGGTGCTCAAAGAGATCAAACCTGATTTTACAAGGTCTATATTCGAACACCGCTTCCAAGTCAGCACGTCTACACCGACGCTGAAGCACGATGGAAGTGTTCCGTACGGAGTACTCCGGTCTACTTTGGGCAAGTATCGCAGGTTACTTTTGACTCTTCCCAAGGCGTGAAGATGGCGTTATTATAGCCAAGCCGCCATCGAAGGGATCCGATCCTTGACCCATCACAAGGGTGTTGCAGTATGGGGTGTTCGTTGCTTTTTCCCCCTTTCGTTTCATCTCACTACGGATACCATCATCGGCGCCCCTTCTCAGCATGTGAAGTCGCTGGACGAGTCGTCATTTCCTCAGCTATAATATATATGGTATGGATAAAGAGGAGTGTTCACCAGAGACAAGACTGAGCGATGAACACGCTGGGTGTTCCTCAGTGGGCATATATGGGCCATCCGGCAGTGCTGACAGTCCAGGAGGTGTTTGAGATGCATTACGTGTCGTGTCTCATTGACCTGCTCGACGTCAGTATCTGACCAGCTCAAGGCTTGGCAAGGAAATAGGAATGCTGACTCAGCATCACCAGAGAGGAGGCATCTGCCAAGCCTGGGGCCCCTTTTTCATTGGTCCACATCCCATTCCTTCGAAGTTGCTTTTCAAGCATTCCAGAAGCAATTCCTCCTACCGGGTGAAGAAGAAATGGGGTGAGACCAAACGTCGTGATAAGCGGGAGGAACTGCGCATATCTGATACTATAGATGGGCTCATTACGCAAGGACGAGCTACCGCTATGGCTTGACTGGTTCAACAGACGCGGGAGGCCATATTAATAGTTCGCGTCTTCTGGTGTCAAATATCAATCAATCAATCAATAAGGTGCTATCATGGTTTACTCGCCTGGCTAGCGCCCTATGACGTTGATATTGAGAGGATGCCGCAACCGGAGGCACGCCCTACTAGCTTCATTCCTAAGTGCAACTCAACCTTCTCAAGCTTTTGATATGGTGCGCGCTCCTGATGGAGTCTTCCCTGTCCTCTGGACGAGCTTTGCGAGACTTGGGGCTCTAATTTGCCTTTTTGCGAAGTCCCCAGCTAACGCAAGGCACAAACGGTTAGCTAAGGATCTCCTGTAATATAAGTGGCTATCGGGACTCATGAAAGACGGGGTCCAGGACACTAGCACATTACGACTCCTTGATGTTAGGTTCCGTCTCTTTAGGCAGGAGATTGAATACTGTGAGCATTATTCTATGGAGTGCGAGTCAAATGCTGCAAAAGGCCAGTAATCCAATAATGAAGCAAGCATCTTAGGCTATTCAAGAGTCCCCGAACCCGGCTCTTATGTTCGGTGAAGACCCTGCTGCTAAGCATTATAAGACCGAATATATATCCCAAGGGTCACTCACTTGCTGAACCATACTGGAGAGCACGGTTGTTCAGAGGTCTAACGTTTCCTAATGACAATACTGCCGAGGGTTGAAACCCAACCTCAAACAGCATTAATATCAGAAATTATATCGAGCACAAAGCCGTTTGAGCACATTTTTTTCATACTCCGTACGCCCACTCGCGATCTTCATAATATATGTATATATATATATATTCATCCGAGAGAAAGGGAATAAAATAGCAAAAGAGGAAGTACTACTCCGTCAATTTGGATATTCTATTACTCCCTAGCAAAGGGATTCTTCACGCTGCCGGCAGATCGCCATCGCTTTCCACAGCTCCAGAGGCCTTTTTTGTTTTTCCCCAGCATCCCTTCACCTTCCATACCCACGTTTTGGACGGCTATCACTACCATTCACTACTGAAAACCACGCATTTGTGGCTCAGATCACCACCAACTCTCCACGCTTAACCCTGAGACGATCATACTGGTTATGGCAACCATGAAAAGAAAAAAAAAAGGATACAAAATAAATGAAGCATTCTTATTAATTTGATCTCCTCAGGAACGGGTGGTCAATCATTCTTGGCCTATCTCTGATCCCAGACCACCCTGATCTATCTGAGATCTCTGGCGTCTGGAGAACACCTAGGCGACGCTTGGGTGAGGGCAGCACAGGCTGATGGGCTGATGGATCATGCAGGAGTGGAAGACTAGCCCCGAGCCAGCAAGCACGGAATTTCTGGTACTGGTAATACCGGAATACAGCGAAATCGCAATACGAAAGTTACGATACGGCTACTTATTTACTTTACGAAAGTTACCGCACTAAAGAAGGTTATCTGGCTTAAGGTTTGGTGAAGTGCAGGTAAAGTTGGATCCGCCAAGCCCGCTAAAGCTTCGCCGGCGGAGCTTTTCTATCTCACGAACTGCTTGTCGATGGTGAGGAGCAAAGGGAGCATGATTCAATCAATAGCCTCCTCCGAAGTGATCTTCCAACGTTTATTCTCTTTGCTCGCGGAGGATCGCCCGCTCCCAAGGATATGGGCATCTTATTGCAGCCATTAAGCTTCGTTAAATGTCCAAATAGTGACGAGCCAAGAGTCAATAGATTCCGGCTGGGCGTTGCTATTTCCTTTCCGTCCTTGCTCCCTCTCTGTTGTTTGCCCTGCTTGCCCGTCTTTTCCCCTTCCCCCTTCTCTCATCGTGTTTTTGATAGAATATATGGGTCGATGGGGTTATTTGCTTCTTTCGTTTCTTCTTCTTTTCTTTTTTTGCATCTTTAGCTGTCGCCGCTAGTGACAGGGAGCTTGATCAGGAAAACGAACGAGATGCTGGGCAAGGGCGAAGCAGATTCTTCGGATTCAACGTATAACGACTTCGACACCGTATAACGCGCAATCCACAATCAGGGAAGGCAAAGAGATGAACACGAAGTTAGGCGCTATATTAAAATAGGGGGAGATCGAGTAAGTCCATGTATACGTCTGGCATCTCGGAGTGTGGAAGAGGCAGATGGAAAAGTAAACACAGCCAATTGACTGGACCTCACTGCAGTCCAAGAACTGGACATCGACCGAATCACATCACCCAGAAGGGGAACAAAGGATTTAGACCCCTGTCAACAGCGAGCCATATCCTCCATACAAGCATTTCCAATCTTTATATGGCTAACCAGCGCTCCCCACAGCGTTCGTCCAGTCAGCATTCGCGCCGAGAGCAGGTTCCCTCCGATTATGCTGTAACTGTGTGTGTCTACGCGCGTGTGTGGTGTGGATAGACTTACTAGCGACTACATGGTGATGTCACAGTACATCACCGGGGCCGGGTTGCTGCTTCGCGTTGCAGGGGCAGGAGAGATTCATCCGGAGAGTCATCTGCCCCCTAACCATGAAGCTGCATATATTCAACATACATAGCGCAGAAAGAGAGGCAAGACCACAACGCCTCCGGGAGCAAGGGGATCTTCCTACACCTTTTTTTTTTCACGCAGCCTTTGGCAGCGGTTTAAGTACTGAGTCTGGGATAAACACCGCTGCTAATGCAGCTCCAAGATGGCACAGGCGTTTGACTAAGTTAGCTATCCTATACATTCATACATTATTGGCGCTCGAACAGGCAAACGGGACGAAATTCGGGAGCCGGACGAATGGATAGCGACTCCGTATCGTTCGAGAAGTCAACGTCTATCGACGGAGGGCAGCGGCGCTTCACTTTCAACTCGCTCAACGCACTTTCGCACTCCCAAACTCTTATCAAACCAATACCACAGGTACGGAGTATACGTGGAAGTACGGAGAGAGTACGCCTTGCTCGTTCCCCGGTAGTGTTAGTGTACCTCTGCCGTAGCAGATAATTAAGAATGCCAACCCCCAAGTCGCAGCGTATCGTTTCATCCGCTTGGCTGCCTCCTCAGCATCCCAAATATGCTTGACTCGTGGAAAAAGCATGAAAAAAAGCTGAGCTCGTCTCTACCTGCTTGCCCCCCGTCCTGTCGTTTTGTCTTTCCTGTCACCGCGCTCCGATATCCCTGCGCATTCTGAAACGCACCGGGCCTCCCAGATGTCTGCTGGACCCCCCCCCCCCCACATCCCGTCTTGTTCAGCCTCCACTCCTTCAAGCACTCCTTGTTTGTTCCCCCTGGCTTCTTGGCTCCGCGAGCCCCCTGCCAGCTATGATGTCAGCCCAGCCGTGCTTCGTGCTTGGATCGGAGAGTGCAAAGACATGTGGTGAACTGCTGGTTCACGGTGAGGACGCCCTGATACTGCGGACGTTCCGCTATGGGGCAGAGGGGGATGTTTGCGCGTCTTCCCTTGGGTCTCATCCTTCTCCTTTTTCCGTTTCTTCCTCCAGGGTCGACGAACTCGCTGGTTTTTCCCGAGAGTAGCCAACGTCGTTGGTTCTGCATTTTCCAAGGCTGCGAAACAATGTATACGCAAGCTTCCATCTACCCCATACATAGTACGGAGCCATGCTCACCAGGTTGTCGCTCCGAACCGAGTCATGGTGGAGAGAACGATCGATGATCAGTCGAGACAAGATCATCTCATATCAAGACTTCGACCAACAGCAACGTTCCTGAAAGCATTCCACTTGCCTTCCATGAACGTTACTTTTTCTCTCTAGTCCAGCTTTCTTTTTTGATTCCTTCGAGAGCCCGAGCAGTTCTGCTGGCGGACATGAAGAGACGCGCTTCTCTCGATCTGGTAGAATCTTTCGCTCTCTCCCATGCGCAGCCAAGTGCCTGGGCCTGAAAATCACTTCATCATCGCGAAGATCAAAACAAATAATCATGGACAACAAACAAACTTGCTGTTAATACCCGTTAATCAAGTAGCTTACTCGATACCAAAGGCGGGGAGAGTACGTGCATTAAAGGGACAACTCAGCCACCTATGCGCAGCTCACTATCACCAGGGAACTCCAGAAATAATTCTCTGCCTGTATGGACTGATGTCGATGTTAAAGCATTTGCTACAAACCTCTACTATCCAAATGCGTGTTTTTTTTTTTTTTTTAAATGCTATTATATCCTTCCTGCGACGGAGCAATCTCCTCTTCCTCCACAAATACTTCACGCAGCCCGCTCAGTCCGTCACATCCTGTGAAACTTGGGCCTCCCAGCTGCACTCCAAAGGAGCATCTCGATCTGTGGTAACACTGCAGTATTAAGAGAAGATGGGAAATGTCCCTGCTCAGCGCTACCAGCTCTGGCCATCGATCTGGCTAAGAGGCCGTTGTGGCCGATTCCTGAACGATCTATAAAAATGAACAGTAGGGAATCGGGATGTAGTGTCACTCGAAGCCGGCAATGCAAATTGTGGCTTCCCTTCGCGATTAATCCGGCTGGGAATGTTTAAACGCATACAGATTATGTGCAAATATGTATGCCGTCCCTTAGCGTTGAGTGTTTGCTTTTTTTTTTCTTTTCCTGTGCAGCAGCTAACATATACCATGGGACACTGCTGCGCCTCATCCGAGTTCCTGTCTATCAGTGCAAGACTGTACCGGGATGCTCATCCATACCATCTTCCAACTTTTTTTGTCTTTCTCTTGTGTCTGCTTTGATCGAATGCATATGATACGTCTCAGGATGCCATGCCTCTCTCTGTATGACCTGGTTAATTTCGGTCGCGAAAAGTACCAAGTTCCTTTTGGAATATGCAGATAAACGAAATCGAAACAAAAAAGACATAAAAATAACTATCAGACAGCAGACGATGGTACCCAATTGCGAAATGCCCTTTCCCCCTTACGCTTTACCTAAATATTGCGTTATTTTACTTGATTGGCCTGCATTAACACGGCATTGAGTATGGCCTCTACTTGACTATGTTGTCCACCTCACAAAACCATGGATCGTACATACAGAGAATGTACGTCCACAGCATTTAGGTATGTGGATTACGGGGTAGGATGCTGACTCTCAAAAGCCCCTGCTTGGATTTGCCCCATGACTGCCGAAATTCGTCCTCTTGCCTTTTGCTTCAGCCTTTGTACCTTTACAGTCTAGCTACCCCAAAGGGTCCGTGTTGCATGGGTCCCTTTTTGAATACCACAACTGGACGGAATCATGCTTATCCTACTGGTGGCTACGTTTCATATACACATCAGTGGCGTGTGTAGAGCGATTGCCCCCATAGCCTCGCGGGGAACTATATCTACCCTAAATTGACGCCACTTCTACCAGACAGACCAGATTATACGTCGTATAAATTATACTTAGCATGCCTAGTGCGCCCAATACCCGATGGATGAATGATGCTGTGCAACCATTAGAAACCCAAGCCAGTAATCCTTCTCCACCGCAAAGTATGTACAGAACTGGAGAAGAAACACGTTTGGCGGCGCTTATACAAGTTGATGTCCACCGTTGAAGGACCTTCGGCATCATCAAGTGGTGTAAAAAGAAAGCATCTGGAGTAGTACGTAGTAGCAGAAGGGGTACAACAAAACACAAGGAGATCATACCGTCAGGTGGCGGTATTGGAGTTCAATTGCCTTGAAAATAGAGGAAATACGGGACATTCAGGGAGGCGTGTGAACCTACAATGGCGATATAGTTACAGCGTACAGAAGACGCGGGTGATGCAGCCATGCAAATAATCTAAAAGGGTAGGTAACGTATACTCTGGAGAATATTATCTGGAGTACACAAGGCCCAAGTACTCTGCGAAGGAATATTAACGCTAGGTTGATCAATTATTACACCGTCCATATATTACATCAGGATGAGGTTAACCGATTCTTGTGGCCAACGTAAAAGGTACGTTTTTTGGTTCAACTTATACGCTAGTAGAACTGTACCATAAACTTATAGCCTAAGCTCTCCTGGCTGCTACTGATCCAGCTCTGCGGCCAAAGACAGCACCAGAAGTTAGGCCGCTACCTCCCGGATAGTTGCTATGGAAGAGACCACCAAGCATCTCTCCCACACAGTAGAGGCCAGGGATCTGTTCATTGTTGGCCGAAGAAATGGCTGTAGCCGTTTCCGGGGTCACGGCTAGCCCTCCAAATGTAAACGTAATGCCGCAGGTAACCTTTACTGCAAGAAACGGTCCTTGGTCGAGAGGGAGAGCCCAGTTGGACTTGGGGAGGGACAGGCCACCGGCATACGATTGCGTGGACAGTCCATCTTTGATTGCCGGGTTCCATTCAGCGCCCGTATTCTCCTTGCGATGCTGGTAAACTGCGGCGTTATAGTCACTTAACGTGTTGATAAAGGTTTCTTTATCCATTAGTCCAACACGAGAGCATTTCTCAGCAAGTTCGGATATTGAAGGGGCAGTGATGTGCTCGACAACCTCTGGACGGTATTCCTCTTCTCGTAACCATGAAATAGCCTGGTGGTCCCAAACCTGAAATGCAATATGTCCTGGCTGCGCAAGGATAGCTCTGCCAAACTTTGCATATGTGAAATTTCTCATATCTATACCCTCATCCACAAACCTTTTCCCCTCTGCATTGATCATCAGCCCAAGGGGGGTAGCCTGATTTGGTAATTTGGTTTGAGATGTCACGATCACCTGAAGATTTAGGAGCATTGGCATCCCATGCAACGGAATGGCATCCACTCCAGTCTCCTGCCTTTTTCGCTGACATATCGCGGATTGCTATCTCAAGGCAATCGCTAACATTGTATGGAGTACCGCGGAGAAAGGCTTTGTCCCATCCACCACCAAGGTAATGTGCCCACATCTGAGGATTTGATTCAAAGCCTCCAGCCGCTAATATCACGGCTTGGGTTTTTATAATCGTCTCACTGCCGTTATTCTCAACGACGGCCCCGGAAAGTGTACCGGTGGCAGGGTCGGAAACTAATCTCATCAGGGGCGTTGAGTAAAACACAAAAATACCCACACGCCGCGCAGCTACCTGGTAGTCCTGGATAAGGCCCTTCCCACCATCTTCGGTTTTCAGTGACATGCCTCCCCAAAATCTATTGCGACCATCAACTTTGTAGGATTGTCGGTTAAATGATAACTGAGACCTAACCCCAAGACTCGCAAGCCACTTGATGGTGGTATTTGAGTCCTGGACAAGGGCTTTGCAAAGGGTCTGGTTCGTCTGTCCATCGGTCATTCTTGACATATCTTCTGTGAATTCTTCGGTGGTATATGGCTCCATATCTATGATACCTGCTTGCTCACTCGTGACATTGTTCACAATTGGGAGAACGTCATCCAGACCGCTGTGAACTGTTCTAAATGCACCTGCAGTGAAATAGGTATTCCCTCCAGCCCATTCCTAAGGAGCCTTTTCGATTAGAACGACACCCCTGGCACCATTTTCGGCGGCTGAAATAGCAGCTGAGAAACCTGCGTTTCCACTACCAACCACTAGAATGTCGCATTCCTGTGGGATTGCCATACTTGAATTTCCGGGTATCTGTTAGCTCTGACTGATTAAGGTCTTCTCCCAAATATTTTAAATTTCTTTTCTTGCTTTCTTTCTTTATTTCTTTTGAATAACTGGTAAAATCAACGGACGGACAGGACCAATAGCTCTTCGAATGTTACGGTTTATCATGAGGAGTAAGGACTGAAGTCGCTGCTACACGACACAAGCTGAGCAATTCCGGTCTCTCTTAAGCGGCAGAAATGCCGGTCATAACACTGACGGAGACTTGTCCTCCGCATCACGGTTCCGCATCGAAACTGCCGAAAACTCTTACATGGAGCTTTCACCATAGTTAGCTCGTAGTTAGCACGTAGATCAGTGTTCGCTGGGCTCTCATCTATCCGTCAGCTCTAAATCCTTTGCCTTACCATAGGCGATAGTCACGAGTCCAGCCCTAATCATGAACTAGTGTGCCAGGTGACAGTCAGCCGTTCAAGAGGGGACTAAGCCTTCTTATACCAGCAGCATCTGCAATATATGAAGGGTTCATCCTATATCAAGCGAATGCGTTGGTGAAGCTGAACGTCCTGTCGAAACGCCATGTCGTCCAATTTATCCTTTTGCCCCTTTCGGGCCAACCCCAGTTCGGCTACTCAAACAGCGCGCTAGTCCCTCTCCGTAATAGTCACGTGGTATAATGCCCGCCCTGGAACCCTTTTTTTTGTAACTGAAGAAAGACCTTGGAATTACAACTCCAACAGCGTTAAAAGAAAAAAAATTTTATACCAGAGTTTTCAGGACGAAATGATTATACGGCTAAGGCCATGATACAGTGGCAGATATTTATTATTTGAGTGAATTGCCACTTTCGGCAAAAAAGCGATTTGCGCCAATATCAATCTGGCCTTTTAGTCGCCATGGTACACAGCTTCAAAGGACGATAATCAACTTAAATCGCCCCAATAACGATAGAATTTGGAGCTTTGTACTCCGGCCTCAATCTTGCAGAAATGACCAAATCTCATGATCATGGCCCGCCAAAGATATTGGCTCGAGCATGTCAATTTTGCAGGGCTAGGAAGATCAAATGTGATACCCAGCGGCCAAGCTGCAGCTCATGCATCAGCCAGAAGAGGGAATGCGTATATATCTTAGAGGTTCCAAAAAGACGGTGCGTAGTTTCAAGATGTACTGCAGACAGGCAATGCCAATCCTGTTGTTTGCCTAGGAGTTATGTCACTTACTGACCGAGAATAGGCCATCTACAGCTATTGTCAACGCTCTCCAAAATGAGAAAAGACAGTTTGAAGAGATGATATTACGCCTGAAAAAAGCCTCTCCGGAGGAGCGAGATGCTTTACTGGAGTCTATTCTAGTTGAAGATGGCTCAGTGAAGCTCAAACGCAGCTCACCGCCGCCGTTTACGCCTTCACCTTTAGGCCCAAAGAAATCTAATCGGGAAACGAAATCTCACCATTCTGATGATGATGGTATATCTTCAGATGAGGATTTGGATGTTCTCCCTTTTCTCTCTGTCGATGAAGGGGGAAAGGTGGATACATTCGGTCCCTCATCCGCTCTGCAAGGACCGACGAAGCCAGTAATTTCGAAGGAGTCACCTGTCACTGAACATGTTCGGAACCAGCTTATAGCAAATGCAATACTGCAACGTCAACGAGAGCATGACATTAGGTGCTGGCAGGAGATTTACGGCGTTCCAGTGGAGCTCGCTATTCATCTACTGGACCTCCATTGGAACCGACAGCATCACAGTTTCTTATTAACTTATAGACCCGCAGTCATGAGAGATCTGATACAGAATGGGCCGTATTGTTCGGAATTTTTAATGAATGCCATCTTTGCATGTTCCTGCAAGTACTCACAAAGAATTGAGGTCCGGGACAATCCCGTAGACCCTGAAACGGCAGGTGGTCGGTTTTTTGCTCGTTGTGATCAAATCCTCGCGGACCAATCACTTTTGAACTCTTCAAGCATTGCGACTCTGGTCGGACTGCTTCTTCTTGGATCAACTTACAATGCTTTAGGCCAAACCTCTAAAGGTTGGCTCTACACTGGATATGCCCTTCGAATGGTCTATGATCTTGGCCTTCATCTTGATTATAAAGCCACGACTGCAAACGCGGAGGATATTGAGATACGACGCCGCGTATTTTGGGGTGCATTTATTTGTGATAAGCTACAGAGTTTGTATCTGGGACGACCGATGGCCATTCACATAAGGGATACCCATGTGTCACGCAACTTTATGGACACCATGGAAGAGAAGGAATTATGGACACCTTATGTTGACCCTAGGCTGCCATCTGACTCGTTACCAGCTATGCCTGGCACTCCTACTCCAATCCATTCCGTTACAACTTTCCAGCAGTTATGCCTCTTGTCCAAAATTATGACCAAAATCATCAATCGGTTCTACGTAGTGGGAGCTACTGCTGCTAATGCAAGAGCTAGTCTACAGTCAATCGACGACGCATTGATATCCTGGAAGGACAACCTCCCGTCTGACCTTAATTTCGAGCCTTGGTCTGACAACCCATTGACTGCCCAAGCTCGTCCAGCCCCTAATGTCATGATCCTTAATGCTTTATATTACTCTTTGGTGATTCTGCTTCATCGGCCGTTTATTGCTGATGGTCATCTTCGTTCTGCTGTTGCACCGGCCAGCTCATGGAAGCGCTGCACTTCTGCCGCCAAAAACATAACTAGTATAGTACTGGCATATAAGTCAGCATATACTCTTCGAGGAGCTGCTTATTTGTTGAGTTATGCAGTTTATGTTGCTTGTACCATTCATGTTCGCAATGCTGCAGCAACTGACGGCAGCCAGCCAAGTGAAAATTCTTCCATTCTCTCTGCAAGTCTTCACAGCCTCGATGAACTGTCGCTACCGAATTCTGGAGTGTCTAAAACTGCGAGCATAATCCGAAAAATCATGGCTGACAATGGCCTAAAACTTGTGTCCGGTAATTCTATCAATTTGAAATCCTAAGCTATCTGGCGGGATGTGTGCTAACAATTAAATAGAGCCGGTTATTGATATACATTCTCCATCGTCCTTGGATCTCGACGCCATTTTGCGGATGTTCCCATCTAAATCTCCCACCCAAGGCCAACAACCAAACCAGCCCGAAAATTTTGATCAAAGCTATGGAATGAACCCATATGGACCAGAAGATCTACTTTATGGGTTTATGGATGGAGAAACAGCGGCTTTCTCGGACTTCACTAATAATGGAGCATTTAGGATATAAGTGAGGCATTTCAATTGTGTTCTATGAAGCCCCTGACTATACTGCTGTGGCTCCACGGAGATTGAATCTCTGTCTCCGTAAATGTCGAAGTATATTCATAGCCCCCGTGCAGGGTCGTTGTTCCATATCATCGAGAACGAATTGAGCCATACTGTCGCCTCTACTGCTCATGAAGCAGTCTTACTGCTGCAGGCGACAGTAGGGATGGCGTATATTGCCGGGGAGGTAAAAGAATATACCGAGTGTGGCTGTGTATGTCAACGATTTTACTCTGGTTACAATTCAATAACTATAGCTAACCGCGTCCTCTACAGAACCGGTGCAGCCAACGGTGACGGTATTAGAATTACATGTCTCCTGATAAACTTAGGTCTGAAGGAGTTTAGCTGATGCATTAGTTAAGTGTTTCCCTACAATTTAGCGGGCATTCTTACCACGATTTAGTGGGCTATCACATAGAGTAATGTTACTGCTTGGATGGTATTTGTTTGCAACTAGCCCTTGGCATTATAGATTAGATCATCTGATAATACAAATTAGAATGAAAACTTGGCATTTATTCCAAAGAGCCTGCCTTGATATCGGTTCATGACTTCTCCCAACTTCACCATAATTCCAGCAGCCAGCATCCTGACTTGATCATCTCCCTTTGGGGTTCGTTCAAATATTCCTCCAACCCATTCTCGCATCTCCATTACTTGCTCTGCGAATTCATTGACAAGTCGTTCTTCTCCGGAGCTTCCGGAAGCAATATTAATATCCAGTACAGCAAGAAAAAGTGAAAGTATAGCGGAAAGGACAGTTGGTTCCGTAGCGGCTGCGGAGTTATGGAGGGACATCAGTAACATTAGAACGTCGGAAGTTATCGTCAGTTGGTTAACCGAACTCGGTCCAATTGTTGATATAACAAGGATAGTAGTTTGTATGAACAAAGAAAGAAGGTGAGGGGAGAAAAAAGGGTTGTTCCCATTATATGATCTGAATTGGCGAATTTAACACTTAGTAATCTGAACTCATAATATCAAAGAAGCACTTGGGTTGAGGTATACTTACGAAGTAGAATACATCATTAAGCTAAATCCACTGGTTAATGGGCGGAAAAATGCTTCAAATAGTATTTTATGTAGGTCTTTTGGTATCGACTTTGCTCTCCTTAGTTGCTCTTGTTCATGCTTCTTCTTTTCCACTTCCATTCTTGAAGAAAATGTGCGAACTTTCAAGGCATTAGGACCGCTTAGTGTGTCTGCAGCATTAAGAGCTAAAGGCTCCAGAGAGGTTCGTGTAATATTCCTGGATATAGCTTCATTTGGGGTATGCTTAGAGGCTGGGTCATATTGGATCTCTAGTCGGTTTGGAAGCCGTTGGGACGGAAAAGATGCATCGGCAGAAACTTGGGGAAGGCTCATGGCCTTGCTATCCTCCTCTCTATACCCTGCAAGTTCTCTCGCTCCCAGGCCTAAGGCAACCAGTAGCGAGGATCTTTGAGATTGAGATAGATCAAGATGGAAAAACGCATTCGCTATCCATGGACCTAGAACCAGTGGGCGTGCCACAACAAGTGTCGTCAAGCTTTGCAGGCGATATTCTTGGAATTTTGGAACATTATATTTGTCATGTAGACTAGTAAGGGTAAGAGCGAGGTCTCTAATGTGTTCATCTAGTTCTGAGCCAAAGCCAGATTTTCGTCGTATGAGGCTAGGTGCGGTCGATATTCCTAGAATGTAACGGTCATAATTGTCAATATCACGAAGATAGGTTAAAAGCTCCCTGATATATCTGTTGTAGACGAAGATTTATTAGCAATGATAATAGCGAAGAAAGGATAAAAAGTATTGGAGAACCGTACACAGGAGGGGTGGGCTTGGATCGCTGGATAAGGGTTGGGTCCTCATCAGAATCGGAGGTATCTGCATCTGGTTTCTGATACGGGATAAGGCCGTCGTCATTAGACTCGTCAGGATCCTCTAGAGGCAATATTTTGGAAGCGGTAGGCTTCGCACTGGATCCCTGCATTTTCTCGTGTTTGACGTTTAAAGCTCTCTCTTTAACCGTTTCCGTCGAGGACAATGTGTGAGGTGGTTTTAGGTCAGTTATGGTTCTAACCCGATCTTTGGTATCTGCCAATTTCAAAAACCATGATGCCTCATCACTGTCCATTTCGGCCAAGTCAAATTTCATGCGGCTTTCTGGCTTGTCGGTCAGTTTAGATAAAGACGTGCCAACAATCATCCCTAAGAAACGAGACCGAGTTGATGCTGCTCCTAGGCGATTTGAAATAGCAGAGAGATAGGAGCTGGCCTGAACGAGGCTCGATAAATCAGTGGTTTCAAGCCTGTGCAAATAACCGGCTGCGAGGAGAATAACTTGTGCATTCGCTAGATAAACCCAGATGAGTCGAATTAGACAGCTTCAACATGTCACAAACTTGTTGAGAAAATATTACCTTCTTGCGCTGGTATAGGCGAGTGCTTTATGGAGAGCTTATCTCCGAAAATATCAATTGACTTAGTGAATATTTGTGAAAGCGATTCTGACTCTAGTTAGCGAGAGTATGAAGATTTTTAAACAGTGGACATCTTACCTGGGTCAGAAGCAAACGTGGCCAGAAGCGAGCGGCGCATATAGACACTGTTTATACTCCCTCCAATTCCTGATATAAGCCAGTTTTTCAGGGTCTCCTTCATAATAACAACATCCCTCGTTATCAGTGATAGTAAAATTGAGACGTTGGATATAGATTCATCTGCAATTTTGTCTTCCTTCTCTAACAAATTTACCAAATACGCTCTTTCTAGGCACCGTAGAATTGATTCTAAAATCCTTTTTTGGTCATGCTGCCGCAAGAATTTCAGCAAGTTAATGAAATTTTCTGTGCCTGGCCTATCCTTTCGGAATAACAGGGCATGCAAAATCTCATCAACCACTTGGTCTATAATTCAAGGGCCGAATTAGTTATAGAACACTGCATTTTGAAGGGAAAGATCTCTACCTGTCTGGCCAATGCTTAGTGATCGACTAATGAATGCTCCCAGATACTTCCAAGCTTGATCATCATCAATTGAAAATTGAGACGCCATACTACTGATATTTTTCCCTAGCCACGCAGCATAGAGTTTCCCATTTGACATCCATGAGTGAGGGAAAGTTTTTACAGACAACTCCGTATAGCTGAGTGACTCAGCAGAAATTGATAGAACTTTCCCGGATGCAATGAGAGATATAGTTTCTTGCCAGAGAAGTTGCTTTCGGACTTCATTGTCGATGAACCGCCTTATATCAGTAAGTAGATGAAAAATTAAGTCGCTTGGAGACAGTAGGCGCGAGAGCAAAGATAGGGTATCTTGTATCAGTAGGCCCTTGTCAGAGCTAGCATTTGTCCCTTGTGGAGGTGTTTGGGTAGGTAAAAGACTTCGGAGATAAGCAAGAAGAGTTCCAATCCCGGAAGGGCTCTTTACACATCTCAACAACATAGCCTGTGGCATCTGGCTAAACGAAAGTTGGTATGAGGATTCCGGGTCATGTTCCATCCCCAAACTAGCCCAATGGTCACAAATGGTCGTTGTGATTAAAGCATGGAGTATTTGAGCTCCGAGAGAGCTTGGAATGATGATATTAAAGTCCCCATTCTCCAGGCTGGCCGGGTCAAGAAATTTCAGCGCCTCTAATAGAGTTGACGTAGGTGCCTTGGATTTTAAAATTTTCAATACATCCTCTGGTGATGATAAGTGAGCTTCAGATTGTTCATCTTCGATAACTGAGATCCTCTGAGCACTCGGGGGTTCTCGAACAGGAGAATGCGGTATTAATGGATCTTCAGAGCTACCTGATGACTTGGCAACTTTAAGAAGCGCTTCCATGACTCTAAGCCCTGGGAAACTCTAGTGGACTAATGGATTCGTGAATTGTACTAGGTTGACGAAAGTGATATCAAGATCGTCATCGCGGTTAGAATAAATTCGATTACTTAAGCAGCGTTATCGATAAAATTATCACGTGATATGATTTGGTCAGCGGGGTGTCTTTGCTTTTGATCGGAGGAACGTCAAGGTGAATCAACAACTCCTTGCAAGTTATGAACCACTGTGTGGTTGAACCAAGGTTGCACTTGAACCGAGATATAAGGGTAGATCTTACCCTTATATCATATTGTTTCAGAGGGTAGCTTTACATAACTGGACACTTGGTAGCCTGTTGCCTTGTGAAGCTTTACGCAGGTTTACAACATATATTCTTAAGCAGAGATACCTATCTCAGAAAGTCAACAAGTCGTTATAAGATGAGCAGCTCGACGATTGATGGGCAAATTTCAGATCGATGGTTTGTCATCATAATAGCCTTGAAAAATAGATACTCCCATTAGCTGAGCTCTAACGTGGTGACAGGAGATTTCTGCACCGAGTCCTGACTCGGTCAGGCCCTTATAGTGACCCAGACTGGGTTCCTGGGCCGGAAACTATTGCCGGCTTAGAATCATCGAAGATATTGTAAGCTCTGAAGCCTATATCTCATACAGACAAGAAGGGTATTAACGGTTTGCTAGGGTAATGTGAGAAAAAACAATCTATAGCCCTGTTCCTTGTAGACAGTTATTAACCCCCTAAAGAGGTGCTGGGGGTTTAGGGTGCGAGATATTGAAAAACCTTGCATTGTCTGGCTTCAAGGACATCCACGTGATAGATATGGGTAAGCTTTCTTTGCCTATATTGGTGCGCTTTGTTTACTTGTCTTACACCCTACAGATACCATTGACATCTCAAACTTGAATCGCCAATTCTTGTTTCGTCAGATTGATGTTGGTAAACCTAAGGCTGAGGTTGCTGCAGCCTTTGTCGAGAAGCGTGTGAAAGGTGTCAAGATCACTCCATTTGTAGGGAAGATCCAAGACAAAGATGAGGAATACTACATGCAGTTCAAAATCATTGTTTGCGGCCTGGACAGCATTGAAGCTCGTCGGTGGATCAATTCTCTGGCTGTGGGGATGGTTGACCCAGAAAATCCAGAGAGCTTGAAACCTCTCATAGACGGTGGCACAGAGGGTACGACGCATCCACACAATACCCTCTCAGCCTCACACTGACACCTTTCTGTATAGGGTTCAAGGGTCAAGCTAGGGTCATCCTGCCCACACTAACTTCATGCATTGAATGCCAGCTTGATATGCATGCCCCCCGTGCTGCAGTTCCGCTATGCACAATTGCAACTATCCCTCGACAGCCCCAGCATTGCATCGAATGGGCCCATCAGATTGCGTGGGGTGAGCAAAGGAAAGGGGAAGAATTCGATGGTGATGACTTGGAACACGTAACGTGGATCTACCAGACTGCTCTTGAGCGAGCAAAACAATTCTCCATTCCTGGGGTTACCTTCTCCATGTCCCAAGGAGTGGTAAAAAATATCATTCCAGCGATTGCTTCAACAAATGCGGTCATTGCAGCGGCATGCACTTCTGAGGCTCTTAAAATAGCAACGTCTTGCAACCCCTATTTGGAAAATTATATGATGTATGCTGGAGAGGAAGGGGTTTACACTTACACATTTGCGGTGGAGCAGAAAGAAGATTGCCCAGTCTGCGGAAATCTTGCGAAAACTATAGAAGTGAACCCGGAATCGACATTGGAGCAGTTCATAGAGTCTCTTGGGGAGAGGGCTGAGGCACAGTTGAAATCTCCAAGTCTGAGGACAGAACAAACAACGCTGTACCAACGATTCCCACCTCAGTTAGAGAAACAGACGAGGCACAATCTACAGAAAAAATTGAGAGACTTATTAGAGTCCGGCGAAGAAGTGGCAGTCAGTGATCCCGCTTTCACGATTGACTTCCGATTTAAACTGGTTTTTCAATAAATACAGCCCAACTTGTTCATGGAAAAATCGCCTTATTAGATAAAAGACCCTTTATTCTTCAAGATATTGATATTTCCAGTGGTGCATCGACTACACTATGATAGCCAGATCGTAGATGTTCGTAAAAAAAAAAAAAACAACGCCGCCCAGGAGAAACGCCCCAAAAAGATGATGTATGATACGCCCAGATATCCATCTAAACTTTTTTGACGCCAAAAGGTATGCATATACATTGGTGAGAGGATCTTCGGATGCGACTGGATTTAGGCATGCGTGTCCGTGTTATCGGCCAGAGTAGCCACATTCCGCTTGAGCCTCTGGCATTTGAGTTTTAGGATCTTGATGCTTTCCAGGAACATAAGGTCGCTGTTGAACTGTCCAGTGCTTTCAATATTGAAGATAAAGTGATCGCGTACCCGGCCAAGCTTGACTTTATCCTTAAACTCATCGTGGCGCAAACATTCTCTACTTACAGTGTCTTTGAAGGGATCCACAACGACAGCCTTCTTCTCTCCTTCCTTCCCTTCGTAACCGCTACCAACTTGTGCGGCTTCTACAGCAGTGACATTTTCAATTCCAATAACACCTCTTGGGAAACAGCTTGCAAACTTGATCGCATCGTTGCCTAAGATAGGACGTAGTATCTTTATGTCGGGAAGAAGTCGATATGAGGCTGTAGCCACTGGTGAGAATTTTGCGTGATCTGCTCCTATCCCCTTGATGCAGTGCATTTCGATATCAATTTTTTGACCAGGTCTTAGTTTAGCCAAGAGAATGTCCGGGTTGCATGGTTGGATAACTCCATCCCCATGGAAGTATTTCTCCTGTCGTCCCTGGGGTTCAAAGACGAGGTCTTTGGCATAAATATGCGCATTGTTATAAAGTACAGTCGGATCCTCCTCGTCTGGGGCAGCATTACGGTTCTTCGTGCATTCTTTTACCAGCCGTAAGACGATGGTATTTGAATCCTCGTGAGTGCTACCGCTGTCTGGATCTCCTTCCTTTGGTATTTTGAACCACCGGAGCCAATTTAATCCCTCTAGAGAGCCTTTCAATGGGATTAATCCGAGACGATGGGCTAGAACTTCATCTTGTATAACAGACGTGTTATTCTGGATGTAGACATATTCAATGGCGAGCGCAGGGATTTCGGCAAGAAGAATACGGCGAAAAGCGTTCGCAATAGCGGCGTCAACCCCGATTAACGAAAATGAAGCTTCAAGGGGGTCGTTTTTGTGGAATTCTATTTTCAAGCCCTTCAATTCCAAAGTGGTAAATATGGCGCTACATTTGAATATAAGAGCTGCTGCTGCTCACCTCACTGAACCTGTCAATGGACCATGCATGGTTCTCACCCGGCCAATGACTTGGAAAATCAGTCGCCGAAGGATTCGTCACTGTCTCCGGGTTGATACCAATTATCTACAAGGTATCGGTCAAACTTCTTGTCCCACACTATTCTTTCCTGGACGTTCAAAACATACCTTCCGCCGCTGCACCTTCTCTGAGACCGCGATTCGAGGCGCCATCTCGGTGGAATGTATAGGGGTATATGCCGTTCGCCTGCCAGATAGTCGACAGCTTGGCTCCTGTTCAACTGTGGGATATCAAAACGAAGAAAAAGCTTTGATAAGAGAGAATTATTTTCTTCGCCGACTTGAAATTAACTTAGTTAAAAGCTCGAAAAAAGAAACTTTGCACTGTTTGCTGCGACGAAAGCTCCCAGCCAATCAGAGGCCCCACATTTTCGATTTCACTTATCACGTGATGGCTTCCAACCGCATCTCACAACTTTTGGCCAGAAACGAACGACGCAGAGCGACGAAGGCTTGATCAATTGAACAAGCGAAACACCCTCTTTGCCCGCAGCAGGATCTGTCCAGGTCGTATTGGGGGACTGCTACTTGAGCCTCCCCGTCCGTTGGCCATGGCTTCCTCCGTCACATTTCTCGCACGCCATGTGCCAAAGCGGCTCTGTCTGAGTCCCTCGTCTCGGTCGATTTCCGCCAAAACATCCAGGACGACTACCTTCTCGCGATCGATATCTGCCTCTGCGCCTTGCCGCTATGCTGAGGCATACCAGGCTACCAGGTTGATTCCCACAGACCCAGCATTCAAGCCGGATACTTCCAAGACTGATGCAACTCCATCTGGGCTCGAGTCCGAGACCACCTATGGCCGAAAAATCCGCCATTACACCGTCAATTTTGGTCCCCAGCATCCCGCCGCCCACGGTGTGCTTCGGTTGATTCTAGAGCTCAATGGAGAGGAGATTGTTCGCGCTGATCCACACGTCGGTCTTTTGCATCGAGGTACGGAGAAGTTGATTGAATATAAGACCTACATGCAAGCTCTGCCTTATTTCGATCGATTAGACTATGTCTCTATGATGACGAACGAACAGTGTTTTTCGCTGGCGGTGGAAAAACTGCTGAACATTGAGATCCCTGAGAGAGCTAAGTGGATCCGAACAATGTTTGGTGAGATTACCAGAATTCTCAACCATCTCATGTCGGTCCTTTCTCACGCTATGGACGTTGGTGCCCTGACGCCATTCTTATGGGGATTTGAGGAGCGAGAGAAACTGATGGTACGCCTATAGTCATTAAGTCCCTTAATAAACATCAACTATACTAACGTATTGCATTAGGAATTCTATGAGCGAGTATCTGGTGCACGTCTCCACGCAGCCTATGTTCGCCCGGGAGGAGTTCACCAGGATATCCCCCTTGGTCTCCTAGACGACATCTACCAGTGGGCCACTCAGTTTGCCGACCGCATTGATGAGACCGAGGAACTTCTCACCGATAACAGAATCTGGAAGGCTAGAACTGTTGGTGTTGGTGTAGTAACTGCCGCTGAAGCTCTCAACTATGGCTTCTCCGGTGTCATGCTACGAGGCTCTGGAGTTCCATGGGACATTCGCAAGTCTCAACCCTATGACGCCTATGGGCAGGTTGAATTCGACGTTCCAGTCGGCGTCAATGGTGACTGCTATGACAGATACCTCTGCCGAATGGAAGAGTTCCGTCAATCCCTTCGCATAATCCACCAGTGCCTAAATAAAATGCCCGCCGGACCCGTGCGTGTCGAGGACTACAAGATCAGCCCTCCCCCACGCATAGCCATGAAGGAAAACATGGAGGCTCTGATCCACCACTTCCTGCTTTTCACCAAGGGATACACTGTACCACCAGGTGAAACCTACTCTGCCATCGAGGCTCCAAAGGGTGAAATGGCCGTTTTCCTGGTCAGTGATGGCAGCGAAAGACCCTATCGATGCAAGATCCGTGCCCCAGGTTTCGCGCATTTAGGGTGCTTTGACCAGCTTTCCCGAGGCCATCTTCTAGCTGATGCTGTTGCTATCATCGGTACGCATGTTTCTTCTAAACGTGACACTGAAATACAGACTAACGTTTGCTTCTTTGCAGGTACTATGGATCTCGTATTCGGTGAGGTCGATAGGTGACATTGTATCATGAGCATATAATATACTTCTTCCCATTCATTTCTGTTTCCCTTCGTTTCCTTTTATCTCCGATTTTCGCTTGTGATTGTTTTGTTTTCTATTGCTCAAAGTAAGCCTTTTCATTTCATCTTAGAAGTGTAACGTAAAAAATGGGCGAGGTTTCATTCTTCTCACCTCAACCCCCTGGCGGATAGATCTAAGCTTGGAGCCCAGTCCTGGTTTCTACTTATCCGCTTCTGTATATGCATTATCTGTCTCAATATGACTTTTACCTCTTACCTTCTGTCGCAAATTTTTTTTCCCTGGGTAAATATCTTTATATGATACTATGTGGCCCACAGATGGACAACTGGTAGATATCATCGGTAATTAATACAGGCTTTCATTTGTTACTATATCAAATGATGCTTCCAAACAAAAAGAAGAAGATAACAAGAAGGGAAAACATGATCCTAGAGTATCCCATATAACGATTGTGTTTGGTCCAGAACACCGTGCCTGTAAAGAAGAAATAGTAGTAGTAGTCCATAGAAACCAAGCCCAAACCATCAGAACGCCATCTTAGTTAATGATAATGGTGACGTTTGGGGATCAGGGCAAGAAAGCCATTCACCTTGTTCAAGTGAAAGAAATAACAATATTAATAATAGCCAAACATGAGAGCCACATTTATAAACTTCTTCTCTCCGTACTTCTCTGATTGTATTCTTTGTCTTTTGTTTTGCTCAGACGGTGTGGTCATCGTAAATGAACCTAATATCTCGTGGGCGCCGAGTGTCTCGTCTGACAAACTCTTCGTCACCAGGAGGTCTTTCGTTCTTAGTGTTGCCCGTCAGCATGCTTTGGATACTCATGCAGACGCTCTCGACGGACTGGATAGGTGACCATCCCGCAGAACCGAGTAGATCCAGACATATGATCCCGTTGCTGTATATGTGAGGATGCATCGGTATCGGGCGTGGTGTCTCTGATGTCGCTGGTAGGGAGATGAATTGAACTTCTGGAGCTTCTGGCATGCCAAAGAAGTACATCGTTAGTTGAAGTGTCTACAATAAGCCTCAAGAGGCAGACTGACAGACCTATAGGGTAGTTTTTGCTGAATGTGAATCTGAGCCGATAGGTCTCATCTTTGTAGATGGGGTTGTCGTCCAAGACCCGGATGTCCATCTCCCACTGCTCTAGGTTGTCTGCCTTCGCGACAGTGACTCCCGGAGGCAGGGAGTTCTGCATCTATGAGGGGGCGTGTCCAGGTTAGCCACCAACGTCCGCCTAGAGCTGCTGATGTAGGACAGGTCCTAGAAGAATGGAGGAAGCGGTAGCAGTCGTAGCAGTCGTACCTTGATAAGCTCCTGTATGACCACGTTAGCTCGCTGGGATGCTATAACGGACGACCGTATATCTCGACGTAGCAGAGGAACATAGAAATACCTTGCTCAGCCTCTTGCTGGCGAACATCTTGCGCCGGATATGTTGGTGTTATCGACCCGAGCTGCGGTTGCGGGGTAGGGTAGAACTCGCACGCAACGCTGGAAGACGCAGTAACTATTGCTCTGCGAGAACAAAGGAGAGGAAGCAGAAGTAGAAGACGACGGCGAGAGCGAGAAGCAAGATTTATACAGTAGGACATCTCATGCCGCTGCGTTTCCTGTGGTTGTTAGTGGTCGGCGGACAGCAGGAAAGATGCCCGGTTCCAGGCCCTCTCTAGTAAACCTAACTTTGCTACTTGGCTACGAAGCCCCGGAGGCAAAGGAGAGTCCCGTCGCGCGTTCACTGGGGGCGGCAGTGATCGCTTGTAGAGCTACCCGGGCAGTTAATATATATCACTGGCCTGGAGGGCTGGAGAGGCTCTTTATTTATATCGTCTACTGCTTGACCCTGAGCAAACGAGCCCCTTGCTTCGTCTTCTTCGACTTAACTAGCTTCAATGAATTAACTGACGCCAAAAGTTTTTAGTCATTCTTAGTTCTCGGAACACAGTCAAAACGCTTTCCCGTTGTTATCTATAACGATCAGTTCTGCGGGAGCTTTCCCTGTAGTTATATCCGAGGCCACACAGGCGTTATTCGTCTGTTATTTTGGGGCCGCAGCTGTGTTGACTGAGTAGTCTGGTGCTATGTATCATCCACTAACTGGTTATCAGAAAGACAAAATTCCTACGAGTATCGGCAATTGAAATGCTACTTCCCGGGCAGCCATTTAAGCTACCTCTTGCGGTTGAAGTAACTGTGCTCATTAAGATGTGTTTGCTAGCTGCTAAATAGGAGAGTGAGCTTAAGATACTGTCATCCCGGAAGCCGCAGATACGGCCAGGTTTAGATTGAGTAAGACGCTGAGGGCTCTGTAATACAACTGGGAGCTGACGGGTTTTTGAGCACATCTTCATAGTTCATCGATGTAAGCCGTGGATAGTCCATATTCGACACACTAGAAACTACCTTCGGGAGCTTAACCACTGATTGGCCTCGTTCCATACTTTGATATCAACTCCTGGTTCCTTATTAGCCGCCTGTATCGCTTTAAACACCTGTGCATTATACCAATTAGCAAAGAGTGTTACCATAGATAAAAAGCTAGTCTAGCGCTTACCGCATCCCATAGTTGGAATGACATATCTAGGTTCTCAGAGAAGCTGTGGCTGTGCTGGAACCATTCTTTGCCCTTGGCCCTGACTTCTTCTCTGATGGCTTCAGTGGTAGGCTCCGGTTCCTGCGGTAAGTCATCTAGGTAGGTTCGGACAGCAATTGCAAGGCCGCAATCATTGTCGTCGATAAAAGGAAGGCTATGTAGATGTTAGAAGGGAAAATTTGATTGTCAAGGGAACCGCCGACTCACCTTAGACTTAGATCGGTCCAGTCATCACGATCTCTATTAGCATCCCCGCTGAGCAGCAGCGATGCGAGAACAACTTCTATCAAGTCGCGAAGAGCTGAACGCACAGTGCTGACAAGGGAGCGGAATGATAGCAGTTGCCTGCTGAGTGGTCCAGAATATCCGATGGGCTTGTGCTGGATTTTCCCGAAACATGCAACTCGCGAGATCAAGAGGTTATTCCTCTGTTCTTCGTCTGCTGGAAATGTTAGACCCTAAATATGACAGCTTAATATTTACTGCGAACTCACCAGATCCTCTCATTGGGCCGCCTGATATGTTGGGGAACCAGTCCTTCGAGCTCAAGATTCCCAAACGAACAAGCTCAACAGCTAGGAATGTTGGTTCCTCTAGGTTATCTGACGGCTTGAGGGAAGATAGTGCGGTTTCAAGAGCTTTTCCCCAAGTTGTGAGTTGGTGTTTAGAGTCGACGTAGCCTCTTAGTTGAAGGAACCTCCACGTAACATTGGAGATTATCTCTTGTTTGGTTGTGAGGGGCTAAAAAGGTTAGTTGATTACAACTATATGATAGGTCTGGAGCACTCACTGCGGCATCCTTGGGAGAGGAAGACTTCGACACAAAGCCTTGGTCATTCAGTGCCGACAGGCAAGAAGTAAGGAGTGGATAGTTTTCCTATTCCTTGTTAGAATTCCTTGAACCGTGTATACTTATATATATCGTATCGAAATCTATAAGTACCTGGAACTTTTGTACACTCTCTAGCAGCTGCTTGCTTCCCAAACGCCAGCTGGATATTGTGTCTTTGACTGAGGGAAGGTCCTTGAGATGGATTGATTTATCTGTTTTATCATCGTACCAGGCTCGGACGTTAATGACCTTTGTCTGATAAAAGCGGTGGAGCGAGTTGGACAAAAGGCAAAGCGCTTGTGTTCTGATTGGAGGGAGGTTTCAGTGAGAAGGCGGCGATAGACGGGTGTGTCCTCAGTGCCGAGAGGAAGGGTAAGCAAAAGCTCGCCAGAGGTGAGCCAATTGGGAATCCGCGAGCCTAAGATGCCCTTTGAGATGTAAAAGTAAAGCTCCTCGGGGAGGCGTTGGCCAATAAGCTCGTGTAGGTCGGAAGATGCATTCTCTGGGTCAAGTGGGCCGACTTTCCCATCTACATCCATAATGACATGATGCTTAACAGTCATGAAAGCACGCTTGAAGCGATCCATGTAATCAAGATCGTGGACTCTCTGATCCTCTTCAAACTGAGCGCAAAGTGCGAGCGCGTTTCTTCCAGCAGAGTTGAACATCCCAACCGCATCTCTGATATTAACCCGCTTTCCGCCACCGTAGCCCGGTGTTTCAAAAGGTGGAAATGTGGGAAGGAAAGGGGATCCGAGGAGAAGACACAGGTCGGCAAACTGCTGGTTTGAAAGACGACCTAGCTCTTCCTGACATAGAGATTTTGTCACCCAGTTAAAGTGGCGCAGGTCAGTGTCCATTTTGGTAATAATCTTTTCAACATCGAAAAGGAAGAGCTCTGCGGGGCCGAACACAGCATCAATAAATCGATGAGGGTCCTTTTCGAGATAGGCCAACTGAAAACAATAATTAGCTTGGGATGTAGAAGTATGCATTCATGGCACTTTGCACACACCTGAGCCGATGCCGCATAAGGTGCGACTATAAAGTTAATTCCTTCTCCTTGAAGAATTCGCTGTAGAAATTTATAAAGGCTTTCAGGATGTGCGCTCCCTATTCCGATTGTATGTTTAGCAACCATCCTAGGAGGTGCGGGGTGTGGGAAGGGACCGAAGGGGGGTTGGGGGGGTATCAATTACCGGCACCACTAAAGGCATCAACAACCTGATCAGCCTGTTGTTGGTCGTAATACTCCCAGGCCTGGTTCAATGCCTTGGTATTCTCTGCTTGCGCCGAAAAGTCCGGATATGGCTTGCCTGCATCAAGACCATCAAAGACAAAAACGGGAGTGACGTCCGCTGCTTTGAGCGTCTGAAGTTCGCGGGTGATGTTGGCCTGGAGGGCAAAGGGAAAGCCTCCAAGGGCAATTAGAAGCGGCTCTTTCGTCACATAGTGGTTTAAATGGAGGTCGAGGTAGTGTGTGGCATGGATGCCTATCGCAGAGCCCTTGAGCACAGCTAGATCAAATGTCTGGGTGCGGGTGTTGGCCCATTCATCAAGCGGGCGAGCTGCGAGTACCATGTTAACTGAACAGTCTTTTGTCTATCCGGTAAATGAGGAATGAACTATGGAGGATAATTTTCCGGCTACTTACTCGACATTGCTGCAGTTATGGTTGGACACGGGGTAAATTATATATTCTTGGGGACAGCTCTAGCTGTCTGTTTGCTGTAGCTTCAACCAACACGCGATAAGGCGTCCTGGGGGTTTGCTTTGCGGGAGAAGGCAAGGAGCAGGAAATCAGGACGGGAACGGGCTAGATAAAAGTTTTATAATGAAAAAAATGAGGGCGCAAGGGAGAAGAAATCGCGTATTGCTCAAAATCTCCATCAACTTTTCGATCAAAAGCTCGAACTTGCGGTTTCCATCCAGCGACGTCAGGATGATGACTAATCAGACATGCGCATGAAGGGCACCTGCAGAATTACGGTCACGGGATATGGGGCTTATTTAAGCGCTATCTTGTCTCGATCAGGAAGTTCGCGACTTCAGCTTCATCCTTCGTAGCAAAAGCATGCAAAGAGACGCTTCAGTTCGCTATTTATCTTGGGATATACGGTCATGTAAGTTGCTGTTCTGAAGGTATATATACGCTGCATTTATCCGGTATGGCGTCCGAGGCAGAGATTCAGCTCCCTATTATCGACATCTCCAGTGCAACAGCCGAGGTGGGCAAGCAAGTTATCGATGCTGCCAGACAGTATGGCTTCCTCTACATTGATACAGCCAGCAGCTGTTTCTCCAAGGAGGAGATAGATTCCACCTTCAAAATGGTATTATCTACCAGTCTTTCCATTCCAGCAAAACCAAGCAAGCATCTGTGAATGTTACGGATGCATATCTAGATACTCAAATTAACCCCACACAGGCACAAGAATTCTTCGCCTCCCCCATCGAAGAGAAAAAGGAGGTGGAGATCAGGTCAGATGTACGTCTAGGCTGTCCTTGCACGGAAATTGGGACTCGGACGAGCTGACAAGGCCAGAACATGGGTTGGACAGCCATGCACAAAGAGACCCTAGACCCTGAACACCAGCAGGTACCGGCCATACTTTCCATCGTAAAGTAAATCAAACCAAAACTAACACACATCAACGCCCAGAGAGGAGATTTTAAAGAGTATACATACCTTCTTACTACACAATATACCCAACACGATACCATGAAACCCGCATCTAACCATGGCCCAGGGCAATCAACTTCGGCGAGTTCAAAAACAACAAAGCCAACCAACCGCTGCCTAAGTCCCTCGTCCCTCACGAAGATAATTTGAACCGCTTCACTTCCCTATGCCAGAAGACCTGTGCTCGCATCCTCACCCTTCTGGCTCTGGGTCTAGATGTATGTTCTCAACGTTCTGCATCAATAGCAGGGAAGTTTCATACCAAGCTAAGGCCCAACGCCAACTAGATACCTGATAATTGGTTTTCGTCCCGCCACGACCCATCCCATGGCCCGTCGGGCAGCACCCTGCGGTTCCTATACTACCCCTCGCTCCGATGCCCAAGCACGCAATCATTCCAGCATGGCGTTGACGTAAGGGCCGGCGCACATTCAGATTACGGGAGTATAACGCTCTTGTTCCAGCGAGATGGACAGCCTGGGTTAGAGATTCTTACGCTGGCGGGGACGTGGGCGGGTGTGCCTGTTCGTCCGGCTGGGGTGTCGACTTCGGCTTCGCTTGCGCCGCCGATACTAGTTAATATCGGTGATTTACTTAGCTATTGGACACGTGGGGTGTTGAAGTCTACTGTGCATAGGGTTGTTTTTGCAAAAGGCGAGGAAGAGGAAAGCGAGGGGAGGGATAGGTATAGTATTGTGTATTTCTGCCATCCGTGCCATGATACGGAGCTGGTTGCTGTGCCTAGTAACATTGTTGAAGAGGTTGGTAAAGGTAAGGATACGGGTGAGGGGACGGAGATGGTCGGAGAGAAGGTGGTTACTGCTGGAGAGCATTTGGCGAGCAGACTTGCAGCTACGTATGGTAGGTCGGTGGGAGCATATCATCGTGACTAGGCAGGTAATATGAGCAAGCAGGTAGGTAGGCCTGGTCAAAGTGATTGGTGATAATGTATATTGTATATACGATCTCAATTCTCCGGCATCAACACAGACTACACTACACTATTGCATACATACAAGCTTGACAGATAATGACAAGGAAATATAAAATATGAAATATAAATATAGACGCAAAGAGATATATGCAGACGAACAAAACTATGGAAGAAAAAAGGTGGAAAAGAAGAGAAAAAAAAAAAATTATCCTATTGACCTCCCCCCCATTTCCCACCCACACCCAGCCTAACCAATGGAGCCAATTAGGTCACATAAGTGAAAATGCAGCAAATGCAACAACCGCAGGAAATGAGAATTATACGGAAAAGAGAAACACAATTGGAAACAGGTAAGAATGCCATGGACAGAAAAACAACGATAAAGTAGGAAAGCAAACTAAGGAGGGACGGACAGGTAGGCAAGGGTACGAGGAAAGACGTTTAAGACGATACGATGACTTGCTGGAGAGCAAACGCTATCAGATGGATTGCCGTCGGGATGTAATGATTATGGCGTGCAGGTCGCGTAGCCGAGTACGTGTGTGCCAGCAGCAGTGTACCCGCTGGTGTATAAAGAAGTAGGTAGGAGAGTGGTTCGGTGGGTATATGGAGAGGATTGTCATGACACGCCTGGGAAAAGTACTATGTAGAGGAAGGCAAGATGAACGGCACCGATGTATGAAGAACAACGCTAAGTACTTTAGATAGCATGAAGATCTGGATTTGCCGTCTGCTCAGAGGATAATCAGACGCAGATGATGCAGATGCATTGGGGCGCACAATGGAAATATACAAGTAAACGCAGCGAGAGGAAAACCTTTTGAATAAAGGTCGAGTAAGTAGAGCCGCGGCATGATGAGGAACGGATGAAGACAGGCTTGCTAATGTCCAAAATGGATGATGAGAATAGAAACAGAGAAGTAGCAAAAGGGGAATCGTGCAAATGCCAGAGATAAAAAGAGCAAGGAAAGCAAAGAGCAGCGTATAAGAGATTGATTAGGGTGTCACAGGATGATGATGATGATGATGGTGGTGGTGGTGGTGGTAGTAATAATGCCAGGCATGGACATCTCGTAACAAAAGAAACTCGTCGGATGTATAGAAGGAATAATTAATGAATGAGACGGGTGAGGGCGAGGAAGAGGGAACTAATGTTCCGGTGACGAATGGCACCAGTGTCGGTGGTAGACCCATGCGCTCTTCTGGCACTCCTTACTGCAGTACTTTGTCCTCCTACACCGTCGACACTTTGCAAACTGTCGCTGGAACTCCTCCCATTTTCCGCACTTGTAATAAGCGCATTGACGAATGCCGCCTCGTGAATCGTCTTTGCGGCACAAGTTGCGCATCACGACGCACGCCCAGTACTGCATATCCTTTGTGTGGTGGCGAACGGTGAATTTTTCGACCAGAGGGAAAATGTTGAAGTCATCTGGGAGGATGTATTCTTCCATTTCCTCCTGGGCTTCTTCGGCGGTTTGGGGAGAGGTAGTGGTGTGGAAGCAGAAGAGCCG